TTTTGCAAAGCAGCGGTGCCTTTGGCTCCATTAGCAATGCGTTCCTGTGGCCCCGCCCTCCCCTCCCCTCCTGTTAACAGCGCTGCCCGGCTCTGCAGGCCGCTGTCTGAGCAGTGCCTCCTCCTCAGGGTCAGCCATCTGGTCCCTGGACCAGGTGCTGGGCGCTTCGGCCCTCCCTGCTGGCCTTTGGGCACCTGCTTTTGTGCAGTGTCTGTCCTAAGGGTTTTGCCATTTAAAAAATTGGGCTCTTTGTCTTTTTATTGTTGAATGTTGGATTTTTAAAAATCCTCACCTGCAGGTATTTTTTCCAATTGATTTCTAGAGTGGAAAGCAGGCAGGGAAAGAGAAATATATCAGCGTGCGGGAGACATTCATTGGTTGTCTCCCGCATGCCCCTACCGGCGTGGGGGAACTTACAACCAAGGAACGTGCCCTTGACTGGGCATCGAACCGCAGACCTTCGGTCCACTGGCCGACGCTCTAAGCACTGAGCCTGGCCAGGGCAGAGTGTAGGAATTTTTTCATATTTAGGTACGAGTCTTTGTCAGATACATATGTTGCAAATATCTTTCCCATTCTGTGGCTTAACTAATTTTTTTTTTTTTTTTTTTTACTGCCCTTTACATTTTAAGGAAAGTAGAGGCTTTATTTATTTAGTCAAAGCTTGTCCCATCTTTTTTTTTATTTTATGTTTTTCTGCCTTCTCTCACCCAGTACTTTTAAAATTTGGTGAAGTGCAGTGTATCAGTTTTTTCTCTTATGGTTCCTGTTTCCTGTTATGGTCTCTGTTCATGTTTTTAAATGAGGAAATGTATGCTGCCTTGGGAAAAGGCGCATAGACGTGAATGTGTGAGCGAGAGCGGCCCCCGCCCCCGCCCCCGCCCCCGGAGGCTGGCCTCACAGCCGGTCTCTGACGGCCTCTCCGTAGGAGGAAAGCACTCCACGCCACGGGCCGTTGGGTGCCCCTCACAGACCCGCTTCGGTTCGGCTGGGATGCTGGCTGCTGGCGTTTTCTTTGGGAAATAAACAGTCTTCCCACGTCGGAGCTCGGCTCTCCACCCGCACACCTTGTGTTCCGCAGGCCCACGGCCCACGAGGCTGTTTCCTCCCTGCTGGTCAACCAGCGACATCGGCCTCGCTTGGCCCACTCACCCTGGTTTTAGGAAAAGGGTGCTCCCGGTTTCATGGAGCACCTGCCCTAGCGTCTCCTGCTTCCAGTTTGCACCTGCGAAGAGGGCCTGTGTCTTCGGCAAATAAACGGCCTCAGTGCCCAGAGAGGGGCAGTCTGGCCTGTTTCTTTAAATCCTCACCGGAGGGCACCGTCCCAATAGAATTTTCTTTTTTTGAGGCAAACCATTCAGAGATCCCATTGTCCACGTCTTCGTACGTGTTGAAGTGCTGCTCAGACAGTGCGTGTGCCATCGATCGGAACACGTGGTCATCTGAAGGAGCGAGGGCTGGTGAACACGGCGGGAGGGTTCATACTTCCCAGGCAAGATCTTTAACTTTTTTTTTTTTTTTTAAATATACTTTATTGATTTTTTACAGAGAGGAAGAGAGAGGGATAGAAACATCAATGAGAGAGAAACATTGATCAGCTGCCTCCTGCACACCCTTCACTGGGGATGTGCCCGTAACCAAGGTACATGCCCTTGCCTGGAATCAAACCTGGGACCTTTCAGTCTGCAGGCCGACGCTCTATCCACTGAGCCAAACCGGTTTCAGCTTTAACTGGTTTTGAAGGGTGTGATGGTGCGTCATCATGAAGCAGAATTACTTTGCTGTGTCTTCTGGCCCATTCGGGTCATTTTCAGGATCAAAGCTGGTTCACATTGATGATTTGTTGTCGGCAGCGATTAGTATTAACAGTTTCACCTGGTTTTAGAAGCTCATAATGCACCACACCTTCCCAAACCCACCGAACACAGAGCATTGCCTTCTTTCCGAAGCAGTTTGGCCTTGCAGTCAATGTTGATGGTTGACCTGGATCAACCCATGATTCTGTGCTTTTGGGATTCTCAAAATAAATCCACTTTTCATTGCCAGTCACAGTTCGATGCAAAAAAAAAAAAAAAAAAAAAAAAAGACTTTCTTTTGTGCTGTTGAAGCAACATTTTACTGATGACTTTCTGGAAGGTTTCCGGGTTCGATTCCAGTTCAGGGCACATGCGCAGGTTGCGGGCTGGGCCCCTAGAGGGGGCCCTATAGGAGGTAGGCAATTGATGGTTCTCTTTCATGATTGATGTTCCTGTCTATTCCTCTCTCTTCCTCTCCAATATCAATTAAAAAATATATATATAAAGACCACTAATCCCATCCCTTAGGGCTCCTCTCGAGACCACCCAAAGGCCCACCTACCCCCCCCCCCCATCACCTATGGCGTCAGGTGCCATTCAGATGGTGGACTGGGCGCTGACTCCCCGGAATAAACGGGTTGTTTTCTGCAGGCACGTGAGAGCCTTTGCTTTCCCATGCCCCCTCCAAGGCAGGATGCCGCCCTGTGCTCCCAGGGCCGTGGCGTGTGCAGAGGCGGCCGGCCTGCTGGCTGCAGGCTTCCCACTGTGCAGGCAGCTGATCAGTATCACATCGATGAGAGAGCATCTCGGACACCATGGCCCATCCTGCTTTCTCTCCGCTCCCCTCGGCTGTGTCTGCAAGAAGTACACTTCCATCAAGAGCGGTCAGCAGAGCCGGTTCCTCCTCGTCTGTGCCCGCTGTGCAGCCAGGTTCCTTTCTGAAAAGTCGATATATAAGGCCTGGCCAAGCTGCCCAGTGGTTAGAGCGTCGTCCCGATGCGCCAAGAATGCAGGTTTGACTCTGATCAGCGCACACAAACAGCCAGTGAATGCACACACAAGCGGAGCATCCCATCGATGCCCTCCCCTCTCCCCTTCTCTCTCTTTAAAAATCAGTAAAATAAAGACATGGATACATAAGTCTCAGCATGATAAAGAGACTCGGGAGGCTCTTTCCTTCCTGGCCTTTGCTCTGTTAATGTGTGAGAGAGGAGGACGGTTGTGTAAGTAAAATTGGTCAGGCGGTTGAGGATTGTATCGCCTGCTCACGGGTAGTGTTCGATTGTGTGAGGGGCGGTTACGAGGGACCGGGTGGAGGAGATGGGACGTGAGGTCATCACTGCGGTGACCCGGTCACTGTGACAGAAATGCAGCCTGTGACCCAGGGCCTCGCCAAGGCGGGCGGGAGACCTGACATTGTGCGTTAAGCTTTCCCTGTCAGTGCTCAGCAGGTCAGCATTTCTGTCCTCGTCCCGTGTTCGGTCTGCATGTGGCAGAGGCGTCACTCATCCTGTGTGTGAGGGTGAGGGTTCCTTTGCTTGCCCTCCAGACAGCCGGTTTCTCTGTTCTCGTGGTGAGTGTGAGAGGCACAGGCGTGTGTGCCCCGTGCACACTCGCACTCGTGTGGCCAGATGCACCAGCAGGACGGCAGAGCGCAGATTCTGTTCCTCTTCTGCCCTAGGGGGCCCCCCTCCCGGAGGTCTGTCTCTGTGCCTTTGGCTCTCGGAGTGCGTGGCATCAGGCCGCCCCTGCGCCTGCGTGCCCCTGAGCCAGCCTGGTCAGGCCTCCCCAGGAGTCAGCCTGCTGTGCGAGTGGGGAGGGCTGAGGCTGCGTCGCAGGGAACTGCTGCGAAGGCCGCTGCCGGCAGTGGGGAGGCGCCTGGCTTCGTTTCCTCCCCCCACGGGACTTAGCAGTGACCGCGTGACTGTCTGAGAGGGTCGCGCAGGACAGGACACACGAGGCCCTCCCTCCTGCAGCTGGCAGTGCCCTTGAGAGCCGTGAGCTCTAAAAGGCTTCCCAAACGGCCCTGCCTTTTAAAGACTTACTGATTTTAGAGAGAGACAGAGAGAGGAGGAGGAGGAGGAAAGGAGAGAAGCACGGACTCAATCCCCCATCCGTGCAGCCACTGGTGACCTTGTATGTGCCCTGGTGTGCGCCTGCGGCCTGGGCCTATCAGGATGACTAGCCAGCGGAGCCGGCGGCCGGGCAGCGCCTTCAGGAGCGCTTGTGTCTCGGAGGTGAGGCTGGGCAGGAGCCTGCGGTTCAGGAAGCCACGCCACAGGCCTCCCACCTCAGCTCATCCCCCTCCTCTCCTCGCAGCTGTCTGCCACTGCGGCTGGCAGTTCCGTGCACCAGGGCGGGGAGAGCTTGCTCAGGCTCAGCAGGCATTGCTGCCACTGGGTCAGTGCCTCCCTCCTTCCTTCTCTCACTTCGGGGTTTCACACCTGCCCGGGCTGCCCTACCCCAGGGCGTGCCCCCACTGCTGAGGTTTTTTAAAAAAATTGATTTTTAGAGAGAGAGAGGAAGGAAGAGAGAGAGAAATACCAATGTGAGAGAGAAACATTGATTGGTTGTCTCTCCTGCACGCACCCTGATCGGGGACTGAACCCGCAACTTGGGCGCGTCCCTGACCGGGAGTTGCACCAGCGAGCTTCCGGTGCATGGGCTGACACCCAGCAGAGTGAGCCACGTGCAGGGCCTCCTGGGTCAGCAGCACAGCTCACCTCATGTCATCCACCCGCCTGGGCTCCGCTGCTCGGTCCTTCCCCTCCTCTCTGCTCCGCGCTCCTCTGCTGGCGCCTTCCTCCAGCCTGACACCTCCGGGCACCTGGTCAGCACGCCAGAGCACTCCCTTCCCTCCTGCACTGCCGTCAGGAAAACAAGACTGCGGGCACTCCGAGAACATTGTGTTCACGGAGCTGTGTGTCTGGGAAATGCCATTTGGATGTTTCGTTGCTTGTAATCTTTGGCATTAGTTTCTGTTGCTGCCATTCTTTCCATTAAAAAATTCAGTCGTAAGCCAGAAAAGTCATTAAACTGGTCTGCCAACGAAAAGCAGAACCAGTACAGAATATTAAATCAAATACACGGACTTGGTATTTGTCTACAGAAATATTAATCTACAGCCTTTGCACAGTATCTTCTTAGAGGTGCGATGTACATTGGGCCTTGGTGAGAGGCCTGACTTTGTCTCTCCGTTCCAGAATGTACGACAACATGTCCACGATGGTGTACGGGAAGGAGGACAGGCTGGAGAAGCTGACGCAGGACGAGATCATTTCCAAGACCAAGCAGGTGATCCAGGGGCTGGAGGCGCTGAAGAATGAGCACAACTCCATCCTGCAGAGCCTGCTCGAGACGCTGCAGTGCCTGAAGAAGGATGACGAGAGCAACCTGGTGGAGGAGAAGTCCAACATGATCCGCAAGTCCCTGGAGATGCTGGAGCTGGGCCTGAGCGAGGCGCAGGTAGACGCTGGGCCGTAGCGGGCGGGGGCGGGCTCATGGCGCGCACTACCAGAATGAGGCTCCTTCTAAAGCCACAGAGGGTTATGCGTGTTACATTCATGACGGCTGGTTTGGGCATGTCTGAATTTAAAAAAGCAGGGCCATCGTGTGCTCTGGGACTGGATTTGGCTGCACACACCAGAAAACAGAAATAGTGGCTTACGTGCATAGACTGCAAAGCCAGCCCCAGGTACTGTCCCAGCCAGGTCTGCGGCTGCCGGTCACCAGGGACCCGAGGCCCTGCCTGTCTCCCGGACCAGGACAGCTCCACGGCAGCCCAGGGCCCGCTCTAGCGCCCCCTGGGAGGGCAGGAAGGTGCGCAGAGTGCTCCGCTCCACCTCGCTGCAGGGCGCTCCGTGGCCACGCGGCTGGGGGAGCCTGGGAGTGCCAGGGTGCCCCTTACAGGGCCTGCTCTAGCAGGAGGGAGGGAGCCTGGCTGTCGGCCGCAGCTGCTGGCCCTGTGGCCCCAGGCAGGGCTGTGTAGATGTTACCGGCCTTGGTTCTGTCGTGTCCGCACAGTCGCGAGACGGGAGCGTGCGGTGGCCCTTGCCCCAACTGGGCTTGGCCAACACACTTTAGGTAAAACTAGGCACTGCCTGGCTTTCTTCCTGCTGGTGGGCCTGGAGCAGCTGCTGCCAGTTACCAGCTCCTGCTGCCGTGAGGCGCCCTCCACACTGTGCCGCCCTCGCCTCGCGGGTCTTCCTCCTGAGCCTGCTCAGTGCCAGGGAGAGAATGGGAGCTTGTTCAGTGGCCGAGAAGCTATTGTGCTGCCAGTTCTGCTGTTGGAAAGTGATGTGAACCTGAGCTTCTTCTCTAGTCTGGCAGATGTGGGTTAGGAAGGAAGGAAACTCGCCTCTGGAGCCTCAGCTCTCACAACGAGGAGGGTCAGGAAGCGGGCAGGGGGCAGGTCTGAAGAGCACAACCCGAAGCCAGCGTCCCAGCTTCCTCTTGGGCTCCATCCCCGATGCTGCTCAGGGCCTGTCCTGGGCAGCCCCTCGCGGGGACTGCCTGTGCTCATGGAGCGCCAGCGCCCTGAGCCGTGGTGCCAGGGGCAAAGATGCCTTCCCTGCCGGGCACCTGGAGGATCTGCTACCCCCCCCCGCCCCTCCCAGAGGGACCACTCTGCACACTTCTGCAGCAGGCACAGTGTCACGTGGGGCATGGTCACGAGAAATTGAGTTGGAGCTGTCTGGATGGAAAGTAAAAATGCATTTTTATCAGAAGAGTAGCTTTTCTCTTTTTTCTCAAAGAGTGTGTTCATTGCTAGTCCACTTGAGATGCTCTCAAACAAAGCACACGTCTATTTTCCGTACATGTTCTGGGCACGTGCTACTCCTGCGTGTCCCGTGTGTGGCCGTGACTGAGGTGGACACGGAGTCCTGGCACGGTGCATGAGGTGCTTGGGGAACGGCCGGGTGGGGGCGGGGCGGGGACCGCTGCCGCAGCCTGCGCCGGTCTGCAGGTCATGATGGCGCTGTCCAACCACCTGAACGCCGTCGAGTCGGAGAAGCAGAAGCTGCGTGCGCAGGTGCGCCGCCTGTGCCAGGAGAACCAGTGGCTGCGGGACGAGCTGGCCAACACGCAGCAGAAGCTGCAGAAGAGCGAGCAGTCCGTGGCCCAGCTGGAGGAGGAGAAGAAGCATCTAGAATTCATGAATCAGCTAAAAAAATACGACGACGACATCTCCCCGTCGGTGAGTGGTTCTGGAGGGGCGCGGGGCTGCTTGTCCCTGGGAGGGGAGGGGCTTCGCACAGGGCCGGGGGCTCCCCGCAGGGAAGCACTGAGCAAGCACCGAGTCCCTGGGCAAGTCATAGACATTCTCTTTTTAAAGTTTTAATTTTGTTTTTGAACTTCATTTTAGTTTTTTGTTGTTGTTTTTTTTTTTTTCTTGAGAGAGGAAGGGAGAGGGAGAGAGAGAAACATTGATGTGAGAGCAAAACATTGATCTGCCACCTCCCACACGTCCCTCACCAGGGATCCAGCCTGCAACCTGGGCATGCACCCTGACCAGGAATTGAACCAGCAACCCTTGGGTAGACAGGACGACACCTAGCCAACAGCCATACTGGCCAGGGCCTTTTTCTGTTAATTCTCACCCAAGGATATGTTTTCATTGATTCTGGGGCAGGGGGAGAAGGGAGGGTGAGAAAGAGAAACATTGATCTTTTGCCTTACATGTGCACCCTGACGGGATTGAACCCACAACCTGGGTATGTGCCTTAACCAGGAATCAAGTCCACAACGCTGATCCTTCGGTGCAAGGGATGAGGCTCCAGCCACTGGACCACCCAGCCAGGGCCATAGAAGTTCTCTTTGCCGTATTCTTCCCATGAGTGTTTTTAGAGGAAGGGTCAGAAAATGTAAAAATATTGTAACTATCAGGTCCACGGCAGAGAGGCAGCCTTGCCTGTGACGGGTCTGCCCGCTGCAGTCTGGCACCCTGACCCACTGCGGTCTGGCGTCCATGCCCCTCAGAGTCAGGCTGACTGGCGGATGGTGCTGTGGGCCTGACTTTCTCTGCGGAGCCTGCCCTGCCCCGGACACCGGGCTCTCCTGCTGCCTTCTGCTCCCTCGAGGCCTGCCCGCTCACCTTGAGGTGTCAAAATGTTGCGGTTTTCCAAGAGCTCAGGTTCCCCCTTTTTCTGACTGTGGACATTGATCCAGTCTTGATTATTTTTCATCCAGTATTGCTTCTGATTCAGGTAACTTAAAACACACACACCTTTTAAATGTTAGATCACAGAAGAGTTGATAAGATGGAAAGAGAATCCCACCTGCCCTTTACCCAGTTTCCCTCCCGTCACACCTCACACACCTGTGGTACCTGTCGCAGTGAGCGCAGCTGCCGTTTCAGCAAAGAAGCAGGCACTTGTCTTTGTGGGTGTGAGCCGCCCTCTGAGCCTTGGCCGCAGTTCGGGGGTAAAGCGGAGACAGGCTGGCTGCAGGTTCTTGTTCCCCGTCCCAGCCCGTCCTTCCTGCTGGGCCGTCCTGAGTCTGCCCTGCATTTGAGCGCCCGCTTTTATTTTATTTCATTATTGTTTTTTGAGCTCTCGTTTTTCTTTTTTCTTTTTTTATATTTTATTGATTTTTTTTGCAGAGAGGAAGAGAGAGGGATAGAGAGATAGAAACATCGATGAGAGAGAATCATCCATCAGCTGCCTCCTGCACATCCCCCCGCTGGGGATGTACCCACAACCAAGGTACATGCCCTTGACCGGAATCGAACCCAGGACCTTTCAGTCCGCAGACCGCTGCTCTACCACTGAGCCAAACCAGTTTCGGCTGAGCTCCCATTTTTCATTGCCCACTGGGACTGGGCCTGTTCACTACATAATCTGTGACCAATGCATCCCACACGTGTGTCTTTAGTCTGAACCCTCATCCTAAGCAAACAGACATTACCCTGTGTCAGCTCGGGCTTCCACACAAAATACCGCCAACAGCGTGGCTCAGACCACAGACACTTCTCCCGTCCTGGAGGCTGGAGCCCGAAACTAGGCACCCGCAGGACTAATGTCTGGTGAGGACTCTCTTCCTGGCTGCAGACGGCGACCTCGCTGGGTCCTCACGGGGTGGGTGGAGGCGAGAGAGAACACACTCTGGTGTCCTCAAACCGAGTCACACTCCGCAGCTGGAGGCGGCCCACGCTCCTGGCCTGGGGGACATTGCCCCAGGTCTGCGGCGTGCAGCCACGGGGGCTTCACGTGTTCACGTGTGTGGTTTTCAAGTAGGACTTATTTCAAGTGAGAGTCTCCCTGCTCTGTTTGATCTTCCTCCGAACCCAGACAGACTGGATAATCCTGTTCTTGGTCTTAAGAATGAACCATCTTTTCATAGCTTTTTAAAAACATAAGTTTTTATTGATTTAAGAGAAGAATGGAGAAGGAGAGAGAGATAGACATCAATGACGAGAATCATGGATCGGCTGCCTCCTGCACGCCCCACACTAGGGGTCGAGGCTGCACCCAGTTCTGTGCCCTGACCAGGAATCCGCTGAGTCCTGCTGGCTGGGCTCAGGTTTTTAATAAAAAGGCTGTAGCAAAGGTCTTAGCTCTTGTAAGTGAGGTCGTTCTGGGTTGGTTTCCAGGAGGACAAAGACACCGATTCCACCAAAGAGCCTCTGGACGACCTCTTCCCCAACGACGACGATGACCCCGGCCAAGGAAGTACGTGGGCGGGTGCCGCACGCAGAGGGCGGCGTCTGTGTGGACGTGACTGCGCAGGGGCACGTGCACGCTGGGGTCGCCGGGTCCCCAGAGTTTCAGAGCGTTCTTGTTGGGATGTAGCGGGGGTAGACCAGCCCCTCGGCATGGGCCAGGCACAGCAGCTCAGCGGGGTCCCGGTTATTTGAGGGAAAGCCGGGCTGCCTGCCTGGGCCGAGGGCATCTTGTTGCGGGGTGTGTGTGTGTGTGTGTGTGTGTGTGGGCGGGGGGGGGGTGTGGCACCCGTAAGGGTGCTGCTGTTACAGCTTGCCTAGGGAGCCGGACAGGTTTCGGGGGTTGGGGGGGCGAGAGGGCATGTGCCGACCGGGCCAAGGCTGAGGGGAGTGTAACCAGGAGCTGGGGACCCCGTGCGCCGCTGACCGGCCCCTCTCTGCAGTCCAGCAGCAGCACAGCAGCGCCGCGGCGGCTGCGCAGCAGGGCGGCTATGAGATCCCGGCGCGCCTGCGCACCCTGCACAACCTGGTCATCCAGTACGCCTCGCAGGGGCGCTACGAGGTGGCCGTGCCCCTGTGCAAGCAGGCCCTGGAGGACCTGGAGAAGACGTCCGGCCACGACCACCCCGACGTGGCCACCATGCTCAACATCCTGGCGCTGGTGTACAGGCGAGTCCCCCGCCCTGCCCGCGGCCGGCCTCCCAGCCACCGAGGTCAGAGAGGGATAGGAACATCCACGGCGAGAGAATTCCCGGTCGGCTGCCTCTTGCACGCCCCCTACTGGGAATCGAGCCCGAAAACTGGGCACGTGCCCATGACCGGAACCGAACCGGAGACTTCTTGGTTCCTGGGTTGAAGCTCAACCACTGAGCCACACAGGCTGGGCTCAACACACAGTTTTGAGACCCACGTGTACGTAAGACTTGGGGTGGTTTCTGTGTGGCCCTCGGGATGACGCGGAGCCTGTTCTCAGGGGGAGCTCCGCTTCTCTCTGCTAAATGGCCCTGGACAGAGGCTGTTGTCCAGAGCCCGGGCTGCTCTGCGCCTCCGCTGCTCTTCTGGCAAACGGAGCCGCGAAGGCCCCGCTCGCAGTGCCAAGGGGAGGGCTGGGGGTGAGGCCGGGTCTGCCTGGCAGACAACACCCCCGTGCCTCATTGCAGAGACCAGAACAAGTACAAGGATGCTGCCAACCTGCTGAACGACGCCTTGGCCATCCGCGAGAAGACGCTGGGCAAAGACCACCCCGCGGTGAGTGGCTCCCCCGCTCCTTCTGGGCTCTGGTCTCCCCGGTGCCGCCGCCGACTCAGACTCACGTTCCCTTGAACCCACAGGGCGGTGAGCTGCCTTTCCACTAGATGGCACAGGTAGGCCTCCGCCTCCTTCCGGCGCCGCAGGACTGGCACAGCAAGGCCAGGCCGCACATGTCCCTCCCAATGGAGCACGCGCTGTAGTTCTTGATCCTGAATCGCATGCACTTGTGTAAATTCTCCCGAGCAACCAGCGTCCTTCGCCAAAGTCCCCCCATTGGCACACAGGCCTGTGGCGCTGTGTTCCCAGGGAGATTCTTCACAAATCAGACCCGCTGATGCTGATTGGTGCTGAGGCACCGTGTGTGCCTGTGTGATCTCTGTCCAGGGAATCGCGCTCTTGCTTTTGATGGACCTCGCTGTCTGTGCCTCACCTATGCGTCCTCACCTCGCTCACCCTCTCGCCACCCCCCGTTGCAGGTGGCAGCGACTCTGAACAACCTTGCAGTGCTTTACGGCAAAAGAGGCAAGTACAAGGAGGCGGAGCCGCTGTGCAAAAGAGCCCTGGAGATCCGGGAGAAGGTGGGCCCAGTGGCGTTTCGTTGCGTGTTTACCCGCTTTTATTTATTGGGAGCTCACTGTGTTGGGGGCCGTGGCTAAGAGGGGCACGCAGGTTTCAGCTGTGAGTTTGGGGCTTGTAGGGGACTTCCGTTTCACCATTTGACAGAGGACCACTGAGGGGGGCAACGAGAGGAACTCGTTCCACAAGTGGGTCACCCTCAGGGACGCAGCTGCCCTGCGGTTCGGTGTGCAGGGGCGGGGACAGGAGTGGCTGCTGAGGACGGGCTTCTTGGGACTGGATGTTCATTTGACAGCAGGCACCTGCCTGCCCGGAAGAGAATAGCCACCAAACAGGCTTCTGCAGCTTTAAAAAGGGAACGTTCTTTCCAGACCAGAGGAGGGACTCTGCTGTCCATGAGGCCAGTGGCCATCTGCCGCGGCGGTGCTGATGGTGCTGAAGGGGTGGCGTGTGCTTGCAGCGGCTCCGCGGGCGCGCTCCGGGTTAGAGACGCAGCGCCCTCCGAGCAGGGATGGCTGGACGCTTAGCGGTGTTTCCGGGGGAAGGGGAAACCAGCTGCTCGTCCTCACGCCCGGTGAGACGTCACGCTGCCGTCTGCCTGCCTGTCTGTCAGCAGCAGGCCCTGCTTTTCGGACGGGTTGGGCCGAAGGGCACAGGACGGAATGCGGCATTGCAGGCTTGGTCGGTGCCTCGCCAGCTCCCGCACACAAGCTTGCCCTCTCAGTCACGCACTGGGAAATGCTAGTGGAAGGCGGGCCGCTGCTTGGTGGGAGTGGGTGACCTAACAGACCAGGAACACGGCCCCTTCCCCAGAGCACGGGCCGCGAGATAGAACCTGGGAACGTAGGGTCCTGTTGGCTGGCTTCTGGGTTAGAGCCAGAGCGAGAGCGGGCTCCTCCAGGGCCTGGGCATTGTGGACGCTGCCCCCAGCTGGGAGGTGTGAGTGGAGCCGGCAGGAGCTGCATGCAGAGGCCCGGCAGGGAGAGGAAGGGGTGTGGGCAGGGATGGGGAGGCCGCGTGCCTCCTGGGATGCATAGGTGAGGCACAGATGGAGAGAAGGGATCGAATCGAATTGCTTGCTCTTGGGTGAATCCTCCAGCAGGGCGGCATTGGGAGGAACTGGTGTTCCTGGGCCTGCGCTTCAGTGGCTGAGAGTTGTGATGAAAGATGAGCTGGATACATAAGGGAGCTTCAGGTAGTGATACTTGCAAAGAAAGAAAACGCGGTGGTGTGCTTCTGAGCTAACTGCTGGGCCGGGCTGAGGTCTCCTTAAATTGGAGGGAGGGAGTCCCACCCGCGGGTCTGGGATAGGGGAAGGGGCGGAGTGGGGCTGCTGATGGGAGTGGAGACGTGAGGGAAGTGTTGGGGTGATTGCAGGGAACCTGGGTCTGCACGGAGGGTGGGCTGGAGGGCTGGCTGGGCGGGAGCCCGGCAGTTCCTGGGAGGTTGGTTGCACAGGAAGACGTCAGACAGGAGTGGCTGTTTGGGCAGTCATAGTAGCAGTGGCTTTAGAAAAGCCATTTCCTCCTCAAGATGCATGACGTTCCCACCATGCAGGGTCTGTGTTATGAGGATGAAGGAAGCTGAAACACGTAAAGGAGCCAGCCTCTCCCGCCCCCGGAGAGCCCCCACGTTCAGGCTGCGTCACTGTTACCACGGCCGGGAGCTGCTCGCCTGTGCAGCCTGGAAGGGAGGCCTCGTGGACACGAGGGGAGCGTCTGGCTGGTGAGCCGGGCGGAGGTGTGACAGCATGTTCTGTCCTCAGGTTCTGGGGAAGGACCACCCGGACGTGGCCAAGCAGCTCAATAACTTGGCCTTGCTGTGCCAGAACCAGGGCAAGTACGAGGAGGTGGAGTACTACTACCAGCGGGCCCTCGAGATCTACCAGACCAAGCTGGGCCCCGACGACCCCAACGTGGCCAAGACCAAGAACAACCTGGTAGGTGGGCGGGCCGCGCAGGGGACGCCTCCCGGGTCCGGACGCTTCACGCGGAGCTGTCCCGAGGGACGCGTGCCATTCGCGGGGGAGGATGCTGAGCTCATCCTCTTTCCAGGCCTCCTGCTACCTGAAGCAAGGGAAGTTCAAGCAGGCAGAGACCCTGTACAAAGAGATCCTCACGCGTGCGCACGAGCGGGAGTTTGGTTCTGTGGACGGTAAGGACGCCCTCGTTTCCGAGCGGAAGCTGCTGCCAGCTGCCTGGCAGTCCTGATGCCAGCCTGCAGTTGGTACACCCACGGCGGCACAGCAGCTTCAAGATGCAGCTGACTTGAGCGTTAGAAACGCCTCTCCAGACGGCGCTCAGAGGAGGGGGGCGCCACTGTGCTCGCGGCACGCTGGTTCGTCTCCCAGTGACATGTGGACACGCCTGCTTACCGGCATCTCTCAGCTCCGGGGGGCGATGGCCACCTGCCCCAGCTTTGCACGCTGTCCTCCCAGAGTCCGCGCCTGTGTCTGGCACAGCCTAGGTGCACCAACTCTAGAAAACCTCCCTGGAGTCATTCATGCTTTCTAGAATGTTCTCACGGGGCTGGCGTTCTCACAGCGCACATTCTCCACCGGCTAGGCCTGCCGGCTCCCTGACTCCCGGAGCCCAGGCCCAGCTCCATCATACCCTCAGCATCTGGGCGCCTGGGCTGTTCTGGAGCGAGTGCTGCCAGGGGCTCCGGAAACCACGGGGTGTGAGGCACTTGCTTCCCTTCGCCGGGTGCGCATGGGCGTCCGGAGAGGGCAATACTGCTGGTTGTTAGGCTTGTTTGCTGCGAGGTCGCGCAGATTTTTAAAGCTCCCGAATGCTGTGTGCCGATTCCGGCCTTGAAAGGTTCATGATGGCCTTCGCTGGTATGGCCCAATGGATAGAGCAGACTGAAGGGTCCGGGGTTCAACCCCTGTCATTGGGGTGTGGGCTCGATTCCCAGTGTGAGGCGTGCAGGAGGCTGCTGATCAATGATTGTCTCTTCACTGATGTTTCTCCCTCGCTCCCTCCCCCTTCCTCTCTGAAACCAATAAAAACATAAAAAAAAAGAAAGTTTCCTGGTGGGAACCCTCACGATGTCGGGTTTGCTGACGCCTCCCAGGCCTGGTGCATTTCCCCCCGCCCCTTCTGTCCCCGTGCCGCCGAGCCGGCCACTCCACGCTCGTGGTGCCCTGTCCTCCAGTGTCCTCCGTGGGCATGGCACCCGTCCGCGGGAGAAGTCTCCCTGAGGAGGTCACGGAGCGACCGGAGCCGTGCAGCCCTGGAGCGTGACGGCTTCTCGCGGGCTGCCCGCTCCAGCTGACAGTGTTGTCTCTCCTCAGACGAGAACAAGCCCATCTGGATGCACGCAGAGGAGCGGGAGGAGTGCAAAGTGAGTTCCGTCCCGGGGGGGTTCTGTCCCAGGGGGCTCCGTCCCGGAGGGCTCCGTCCCAGGGGGCTCCGTCCCGGAGGGCTCCGTCCCAGGGGGCTCCGTCCCTGGGCTCTGCGGGCTTGGGGCTGCCGGCTCGCTCACACCTCCTCTCCTCCTCTAGGGGAAGCAGAAGGACGGGCCGTCGTTCGGGGAGTATGGCGGCTGGTACAAGGCCTGCAAGGTGGACAGGTGTGTGTTTCCCTGCACACAAGCTGGCCGGGGCTGCGGGGCTGGAAGAGCAGCTGGCCGGGGCCGGGGTGGGCAGCGCCCTCACGGTGTGGTTCCTCCGCTCCAGTGGCACACCGTAGCTGGGGTGGAGGTGATGGGCCTGTACAGAGCCTGCCTTCCGGGTAGAACACGCTGCTGTGCATTCACATTGCGGCGTCCAAGGCTGAGGCCCACATGTCAGAAGGAGTGGGCCGCGTGGGGATACAGGAAGTGGCCGTAGAGCCCAGGCCAGCAGCCCTGCGGGAGCCAGCACATCACCAACACCTGAGGGATGCCTCAGAGACCCCGAGCCGTAGCCCCCTCCTCGCTGCCCTTGGCCTCCGTGTCTGCTGAGGGCAGTGAGCACCCAGTGGTGCCCGTGCCTCCCTCACCAGGCTGCCGGTCTGCTTCCTCCCAATGGAACCCGCCTGCTTCCTGTCTGTCCGCTAACTCCTCCTCTAAGCACCGTTCCCAGGCACCGGTTCAGGAGTCTGGCCCCTGGCCTGGGTCCCCGCGGCACTTGCAGGGTGCTAGAGGGGCCTCCCACTCGGTGCAGCTGCTGTGTTCCGTGCCCCAGAGCCTGTCCTCAGGAAGAGCGTCTGATGGGTGACAGGCTGTCTGCACCAAATGACGGCCCCTGGCAGGCTACTGGCACAGTCTGAGCACACGTCCCTGCGGCTCTGCCCTCCATCGCATGTTAGTGGTCATCTGTGTGTGTGTGTGTGTGTGTGTGTGTGTGTGTGTGTGAGAGAGAGAGAGAGAGAGAGAGAGAGAGAGAGAGAGAGAGAGGGGCGGGGGGAGTGTGGCTCCCTGTCTCCCTCCGCCCCTCTCACTGCCTGACACAGGCTCGCTGCAGGAAGCGTGGTGGTCCCAGGCAGCCCGCGCAGACTTGGTGGCAGTGGCCACGGTCCGAGCGGCCGGGCAGCTGGGAGGGGAGCTGGAGGTGGGGGAGCTGCTTGTCCCCTTACCGGGAAAGGGGCCATGGAGCCTGAGAGCTGTTTCCACCAAGCACGAGTCCTCAGGCCCGCGCTGCCGCCGCAGCCGCTCTGAGGCAGTAACGGCCCGCCATGTCTGCTCTCCCAGCCCGACCGTCACCACGACGCTGAAGAACCTCGGGGCTCTCTACCGGCGCCAGGGCAAGTTCGAGGCTGCGGAGACCCTGGAGGAGGCCGCCGCGCGGTCACGCAAGCAGGTCGGCAGACCCTCCTCTTTCTGGCGGCTTCCTGAGCCTTGAGCTCAGAGGTGGGCAGTCCTCCTTCGGTGTGTACAGAGGCGGTGGTGCTGTATAAGGCTGTCCGTCTGGCCAAGGACACAGCAGCAGAGGAGCCTCGGTCTGCAGTCTCCAGAGTTAGGGACGGGCGCCCAGAGCGGGGACAGCGTGTGCACACGTGTTGGGGGGCCAGTGTCCAGGCGTGTGAAGACAGAAGGCCATTGGGCACGGGGTGCGGAGCCCCTGCTGGCGCCTCAAGGGTGGGGCAGGGCCCGTGCAGTGAAAGGGGCACAGCTGTAGGGGTTGGGAACGCGGTTTAAAGCCACACGCACACCTTCACACCGCGGCTGGCTGCAGTAAGAACAGGCCGGGAAGACAGTGACTGGCACCGTGCGTGCTGCGGGCCGAGACCGGGGCCGCCACACAGAAGCACCCTGTGGCCAGAGCCAGGCCGTGGGTCTGCCCGGAGAGGCGCTGTGGGCCTCCGGGGAGGGCGCGCTGGCAGCCGCTGACCCTCCGTAGCCGTGTCCCATGTGCTCTGTCCACGGACACCTACTGGGTGGGTGCTGATGTGTTAGCACCCGTTCAGGGCCGCAGCAGCAGCTCAGGCCGAGGGAGGTCCCTGCACAGGCGTTGCTCCATCCGTGAGGCACCTCCAGCCTCGTGCGCGTAGGGGCTCTGGGCGCCGCAGCACGGGCTGAGCTGGGCTGGAGCGAGCCTCCAACAGCGGACAGAACGTGGCGAGTGTGGACTCAGAGCAGACGGAGCAGGACGCTGTTCCCAGCGCACAGCAGTGTCGCTTGGCGCCCCGCGGGCCGTGCACACTGGGCGTGGGGACTGTGAGGCCTGGTGTGTGGGTTTGGGACGAGTGGGTGACGCACAGCACGGCCTCTGGTGCCACTGGACTGTCCCCGTGGTCCAGGCCTAGAAACCCCACGGCTGCAGGGTGTCTGCACGAGGGTTCTTGGCAGTAAGAGGAGGAGCGACAGGCGTGTCCTTCACCGCTGAGAGCAGTGGTGCCGGACGAGAGGTGGACAGAGCAGATAGCCAGGCCTTCCTGTCTCAGGACCGTTTCCTGGCTGAGGAGCACGTGGTCGGCCGGGCCTCCCGAGGGGAGGGCCATCGGCCCGGGTGGGCGCTCCAGGCGCCGCTGGGTGAACCCTGTGAACCAGGCATGCTGCTGGGGCACCGGGCCGACGAGCACAGGAAGCGCTGTTGCTTGTCAGCGTCACAGCTAGTGCAAACACGTGTGCAGGGCCTGGAGGAGCAGGCGTGCCTGGTGCTTAGCGCTGCTTAGACGGAGCGTCTGCTCTGGACGGGCCCTTGTCTTGCGCGCTGGTCTTCGGTGTCGCGCTGGGAACGCAGTGACCCACGTGTCTCCAGCCGGGGCGGCGTGAGCGTTAAACACGGCATTCCCATCTCCCACGAAACCTCCAAATAGGAGCACTGGGCCGGCACCGCCTGTCCTGGGTGTCTGTCCCGCCACCATCGGGCCTTTGTGGCGCCTTCCCAGTGAGCACACCCAGGCCCTTCCTACTGCGCACCCCGCGCACCGCTCCCAGCTTGGCTGTGAATGAGGGAGGTGCACGGGCTCAAGGGAGGCAGCCCTGCAGGCACGTCCCCGGACACGGGTCACTCCTATGGAGAGCCTGTGTTCTGGTGACGGTTGTTTGGAAACCCCCATCGGCTGCGTGCTAACAGGCGAACCCTCCCGCTGACTCGCAGGGTCTTGACAATGTTCACAAACAGAGAGTGGCCGAGGTGCTGGGCGACCCCGAGGGCTCGGAGAAGCGCCGGAGCCGGGAGAGCCTGACCGTGGACACGGTCAAGTACGAGAGTGGCCCTGACGGAGGGGAGGAAGTGAGTATGGGCGTAGAGTGGAGCGGGGTAAGTACCGCGCGCGGCCCGGTGCCCGCAGCCCTCCCCTTAGACCGCTTCCCTCCGCTCCGGCTGCAGCTCCGCTTCCGAGTCCGTCTGCCGCTAACCCCGAGCTGTGCCTCCGAGGGCCCTCTTCTCCCCACGACTTCCGGCTCCTATGCTGATTGAGTGTCCTGGTTGTCTAAAGCACAGCCTCCTCTGGTTTCTTCCAGCACAGGAAGTGTGCAGGGACTAACCCGCTTGCTAACCTCCCTCTTCCCTCGCTAACCCCAGCACCCCGTTCACGGCCCGGCCGCCCGCGGCCTGCTTGGGATTACTCTCACGGCCGTGGAGGCTGATGTTCCCGGCAGCACCGGCTAGGGAGGGAGCGGGCAGGGCAGGAAGGCTCGGTGGCCGCTTTGTATCCACCGTGGTCCTGAGCGCCACGGGTTCTCGGGTCCAGAAGCCGGGCCTGTGGCTCTGCTGCGGCCTCCCTCGTGGTGGCCGTGAGGGCCGGTGCAGGGAGCCGGCAGGGAGGAGTGCAGAGCTGGCAGCTGCGGGGAGGCTTTGCCGCCCAGGTGCGCTTTGGTTTTTGCGCCCTCAGCTGTCACGCGGTGTTTGCCCAGTAGCTGGGCTCTCCTGTCTGAGTTTAACCCCGTGTCAGCCTCTGGGTAGTGGTGAGCCTTTGAGATGTTCGTACAGGTTGTTATTGGCTGCAGCAGCAGGGGAACCCCTGGACCTTGGTCCGCTTTGTTTCCTGTGCCAGGACAGCCAATCAGCATCTCTGTGATCACTCCCGCCCTGGGCGCAGCCCTGCTCGCCCTCAGGCCTGCTGTGCCGCCTGGCGCTCCCTGCTCTCCTCCGCGGGCCCTCGGCCGGCCGCCGCTGCACTGTGCAGGCGCGTCTCCCGAGACAGTATTTCTAGGTCCGCCCGTGTGGAGTCGTGGTGACAGCTACTGCTGACGTCCTCAAGGCCGAGCCTTGGGGGAGGGCTGCCTGCACCGTGCATGCCCCTTGCTCCACGTTCCCTCCTCCTCCGCATGCACTGGCCCTCAGTGCTCACACGGGCTCGCACACCTTCACGGCGGACTCTGCGGCCCTGGCGCTCTGCATCTGACAGCCCGTCCCGGGCACGTGCAGAGGCCGGCCGGACCGAGGAGCCTGGGTCTCAGCGCCCCGGGCAGTGGTGCCCGCACGTGCTGCAGCAGCAGGAGCCTTTCCCCGAGTGGGGTGGAGGGGGGCGCCCTGGTTACCGAGGACTCACCGCTGGTCACCGTGGCCACCCCTTAGGGACGGCCTCGGCTCCCAGGCTGGCTTCCTCGAAGCTCTACGGTTCCAAGGAGGGAATGCTGAACTCTCCCAAAATCTGACAAGTTTATTTTTTTATTTTTTAAAATACATTTTTATTGATTTTTTTTTTTTTACAGAGAGGAAGGGAGAGGGATAGTGAGTTAAAAACATCAATCAGCTGCCTCCTGCACACCCCCTATTGGGGATGGAGCTTGACACCAAGGTACATGCCCTTGACCGGAATCGAACCTGGGACCCTTCAGTCCTCAGCCCGAGGCCCTATCCACTGAGCCACACCAGTTAGCAAGCATGCGGCCTGCTGGCCACGAGTTTGACACGCAAGAGTGAGGGCAACATGCTACTTTTAAAGCATCTTCCATTTGAGAGGAGGCGGTGAGGCGGCAGGCACACGGGAGATTGAGATCAGCTGTGTGGAGCCTCCAAGGTCACGTGGGATGTGATGGTACCCTGCAGCTACGCTCCATCCTCCTGCAGGGAGAACGGCGGCTCACGCTGCCTGCGGGCGGGGCTGCCGGGGTGTGCCATCACCGGGAAGAGCCGACAGGAACCGGGGCCCAAGAGACGGTAGGGCTGGACTGTCACTGGCCGCCAGCCCCTGTGGCTCCTGCAGGCCGGGCCTGGCCTCCGCTGCTCTCAGTCGCCCCGCGGGCTGTGCCCAGTCCTGGTGAGGACGTGCTGGTCCCGTTAGGCGGTCGCCTTTAAGAAGGTGCCGGTGCTCTCCAGGGTGGAGTGGTGAGGTGGAGCAGCTGCCAGGCAGGCTCAGGAGCCCACAGCGCCTCCATGGCAGCCAGTTCACTTACAGGCAGGGTGCTCTCGCTCCAGAAACAGCCTTAGGACAGGGCAGCGAGGTGGCCAGGGTCCCGCCTGGGGCACTGGGCATCTGGGCCAACAGAGCTGGGCACACGCTGATAGAGATGAGAGCCGGCAGGACTGGCCTCAGCCAGGACCCTGTGTGAGGGCTGGGCAGGGCCTTGGCTCCTCAGTGACCTGCTTTCCCCGACCATCCTGGACGGTCGTCCGCTCCCGCCCTCGGCAAGTGCCGGGCTGAGTGGGGGTCCTGTCTGGCACCTCCAAGGGTGTCCTCCTTGATGGTCCCGCTAAGGCTGCAGAGGAGCCTTTCGGGGTGAAACCGGACTCCCTTTGCCCGTCTCCCCTTCTCCCCACACGGCTCCCCGCGCAGATTACCGAGAGCCTCACACACTACCCTTACCCAGGCTCCTGGGGAATTGGGCACACTGTCAGCCAGGAGTAGATTAGTCCTGGGGATAGCTCAGTTGGTTAGAACATTGTCTCCATATGCCCAGGTTGTAGGTTCGATTCCCAGCTAGGGCACGTACAAAAAGTAACCAAGGAATGCATAAACAAGTGGAGCAACAGATTGATGTTTTTATTTTTTTTCTCTCTTTGCCTTCCTCTCTCTAAAATCAACCAATCAATATATTTTGAAAAGAGATTAATATTTATTTTAAAACTAGAGGCCTGGTGTGTGAAATTCGTGGGGGGGGGCTCCCTCAGCTCGGCCTCTCCCAGTCTGGGGGCCCTCAGGGGATGTCCAACTGATGGCTCAGGCCTGCTCCTGCTACTGGCTGAGTGGGCTCCCCCTGTGGGAGCGCACTGACCACCAGGGGGCAGCTCCTGCATCGAGCACCTGCCCCCTGGTGGCCAGTGTGCATCATAGCAACTGGTTGTCCCGCCATTCAGTTGATTTGCATGTTAGCCTTTTATCATATAGGATTTATGTTAGGAAACAAGTAGAATGTTCTTAAAAGTTGGAAAGCACTAAGCCACCTGAGACCCTGACAGTGGGCCCTGCTGAGCCGGCCAGTGCGGCGGAGCTGCCCATTAGCGCTCCCCCTGCGGGTGCTGGACCCGCCAGCCCAGCCCTTTTTAAAACGTGTCCTCATTGTTGGAAGTATTACAGATGCCCCTTTCTCCCCCCATTGGCCCTCCCCCGCTCCCCTCCTCTTCCCTCCCTTCCCGCCCCACTGTCTGCCCATGAGCCGTGTGTGCATATGTGTTCATGGGCTCATCTCTTCACACACGTCCGTCTGCATGCTCCTGAAGCCCATTTTGAGTAGGAACTGTCTCCCTGCTGCTTCTCGGGGTCTGGCGGGGAGCGCATTTGTGGGCAGACCACGGCCCCAGCCCCAGGCACCATGCTGCCCCAGCCCAGTGCCAGCCTGCGGCCAGGACGGAGGGGTGGGGAGGGTCAGGGAGGGAGGGCAGAGTCCCAGGAAGTCTCCCCTCCTCTGGTGTCTAGCACGGAGCTTTGATGTGAACGGGGATGTGCTCTTCGTGGATTTTGTTACATTTTAACACCCTTTTCTGAAGAGAAGCAAGAACTCATGTTTTCTTGTCCTCCCGACACTCAGGGGAGTTGGTAACAAGTGTTATTTCTCCGTTTAAAGATGAGAAAAATGAAGCTCGGGCTGGTTAAATGACTTGCTCAGCGTCCCATGGTGAGTCAGAACGGCTGGGGCTTCGGTGCCAGGCGGCCGGGTCTCTCCGCAGGCCGGGATGGCTGTTGCCGTGGGAACCGGTTCTAGAATGTGCTTTCCTGGGGCTGTCAGTGCATGTTCAGAAGGTGCCGCAGACCTCGTCTCTGGAGGTCCGGTTCTTAGTGAAGGCCCCCCCCCCATCGGAGAGAACTCAGCTCAGGGCAGGGTCTCAGGGCATCAGGGCGGGCAGCCACACCGGGCGCCTCCGGGCAGCCTTCCCTGGCCTCTCGGGTTGCCCCGCGGAGTCTCCTTCCTGACCGTTCGGCGGCGCCTTTTATTTTTATAGCAAGTGCCAGGGAGGCCCTGGCCGGCTGCAGCAGGCCCGCCCGGCTCACACGGCCCGGCCGGCCGGCCGGCCGCGGGGAGTCCGAAGCCCCAGTGCAGCCCGCGGCCTGGAAACACTGTGGCGGCGGCGGCCGCGCGCTTCTCTCGGGCTCACCGCTCTCTCTTCTGTCTGACAGGCCTAGCCGCCCCCTCTGTCTCCTGCATGACGGGCGGCCCCTCCAGCTCCCCGCTGCCGGCTGTTAGCGACCTAGGATTCTTGTCCAAGCTCCACCCGCGACGGGCGTTCCTCTCGGTGCTGCTGTCCTCTGGGTCCTCTCATGCGCGCAGCTTTGCCGGATATGTACTTAGTAACGCAAACTGTACCAATAAAACCCCTTCTGTGTAACACGTGAGCTTAAACGTAGAGCTAGCACTGTCACTGGAAGGTAGTTAGAGGCGTCCGCGGCGACTGCCGTGGCCTCGGCTGTGGTAGGCATGTCTCCCGGGTCCTCGCCGGCACCCCGGCGCCCGCTCCAGTAGCATCGCTGTGTAGTCTGTGTGGGAATTGGGCAGTTCTGCTTCTCTCTACTAATCTGTGTTGGTGACTGTGTACCTGTCTTTCTAACTTCTAATAAACTCACTCCAACTGACTGTCTCGCGTCTGTCTGCTCCGTGTGCCCCTCTCCCGGGACCAGCCTCCCGTGGCCCTCGGTGCGGCTGCTGCGCTCCCGGGCGGGCCCGGGAGTAAAGCTGTGCCTCGCCCTCCGCTCTGCGTGGCCCCGCACCCCGCGGGCCTGGCAGTGTCTGCGTGGACGGGACGCGGCGGGCCTTCCTGCTCCCCGGCGTGTCCCAGGGCCCCGCTGTCCTGTGGAATGAGCGTTCTGTTGACTTTCCAACACGTCCACACTCAGCGCTGATAAAGCTGTTAAACTGCCAGGAGCAGTGCTGCTGAGCGTCACGTGACGGCGCTGAGAGGAGGCTGCCTCGGGCCTGGCGTCCGCCTGCGTGTTCATGGGGTCGGGAGTCGGTGGGGGTCACCTTTGGTTTCTGAGCGGCCACATGGCTGCACCCTGTGGGAAGGTCTTTTTGTTGGAGCTTCTTCACATTCAGAAGCCCTCACGGTTATTAGATTTGCTTTGATCACATTTGGAACGGGAGCTTCTGTGTCAAGTCACACGCATGGCACGTGGTGACTTCTTTGGGGTGGGGGACGCCCTCCCCGTGACAGGCCATGGCCTCTGGTTCTTGTCACTTGGCTATCCCCGGGCAGGTCGGGGACAGGGACGGGGTCGGGGTTGGGGACGGGGTCGGGGTTGGGGACGGGGACGGGGTCAGGGACGGGGACGGGGTCAGTGACGAGAACGGGGTCAGGGACAGGGACCGGCCTCACCTGTGCTCCCGTCTCTTTCAGGACGGCACCGGCTCCCTGAGGCGCAGCGGCTCCTTCAGCAAGCTGCGCGCCTCCATTAGACGCAGCAGCGAGAAGCTGGTGAGGAAGCTGAAGGGAGGAAGTGCCCGGGACAGTGAGCCGAGGAACCCCGGGTAACTATCGCCCGCCGCCATGCCTGGTCAGCGCCGCTCTGCCCGCGCCGGCCGCACCGGGCCTTGCCTGGACGGAGGTGCAGGAGCCTGGCCCTCCCAGCGAGACGCCTCCTGCCCAGAGGCTGTGGCTGTGGCTCCCAGGAGCATGGCCTTCCGTGTTCCGTGGTCAGCCTCCGGCCACCAGGAGCCGGGCTGACGCCGGGTACTGGCCGTCTGCGTAGATAGGCCGCTTTCTAAAGAGCGGCGGGACTTAGTCCTCGCAGGGTCTCCGTCTGTGAAGTCGGAAGCAGCTCCGTAAGTCCTAGCAGAGCCACTGCAGGGCGGAAGGTGCTTTCCGCAGACGGACCGCCACTGCAGGCTTTGAAACGTGAGGCTCGTGTGCTTAAGAGGGTTCGGCCACGGGTCCTGGATCCTTTGAGCAGTGACTTCCGTGGCCAGGCGTTGGGTGCAAAGGAGCCCGGTTCCCGGGGCAGCTGGGCGGGGTCTGCTGGTCTCGGGCCTGCGTTTGATGCGTTTCCCACAGAAGCACGGTTTTGTCAGCTCTTCCCTGAAACTCACTTTCTAGGTGGCATGTACATGGTACAGGTTGATTCTAAGTAAAACTCTTTTTATGTCTTCATCCTCACCGAGGACATGCTGAGAGAGGAATGGAGAGAGAACCATCCATGTGGGAGAGAAAACATGGATCGGTGGCCTTTCGTACGTGCCCCTGGGCATGTGCCCCAACGGGGATTGAACGTGAACCCCCGGGCATGTGCCCCGAATGGGGATGGAACCATCCAGCCAGCGGCGCCGCTCTGGTGGCCAGTAGGACTGCTTTGCAGGCGATCCCACTGGCGGGTCTGGGGGACGGAGCTCACTTCTGGGGCTGAGAGCAGGCTCCTGCTAAATTGGCGACCAGGAGGTTAGGTGCCCACTCGGGTGTTTCCTTCCCTTTTCTTGCCGTCCTCACGGAGGTGCTTTCCCGTTGATTTCCCAGGACGGAAGGGGGAGGGGAGAGTGAAACAGGAGTGTGAAGAGACACTGGATGGGTTGCCTCCCCACCGCGCCCCAACTGGATCGAACCGAGGCCTGGGCAGGCGGGCAGCCCCCTCACCGCTGTGCATGCGGCCAGGGCGCCTCTGCCTGTCGCCCGCTCCTCGCTGGCAGGGGACCGGCGGGGCAGGCATGTGGTCGGCCTCCCTGTGGGGCATGTGCCTTACAGCGCCTGCGGCAGGAGGGCGAGCTGTTAGGAAGCGGCTGTTGCCGGCTTTGCCCGCTCGGTGGCCTGAGCCCAGGGCGGCTGAGAGCCCCGAGGAAGAGCCTGTGCGGGCCCGGCCGGGGCGGGGCGGCGGCTCTGCGCCACCTTTGGAGCGACATCCTCCCGTTTTAAAGCTGCTGGTGCCCGACGAGGGCAGCACCGGCGAGGGCTGGGTCCTGTCCCCGCGTGAGGAGGAACACTTTCTCAGAGCGGGTGCGGATGCAGACAGACATGCCGTCCCTGTGCGGGCAGCACCCCGAGCCGGGGAGCCGGTGACCTGGACAGGCGCTCCGTCCAGGCCTCGCCCAGGGCACTGGCTGCTCGCTCGGGGGTCTGTGTGTGGGTGCTTTTTACTGCGAAGTCCAGTCCTGGCCCGATCCTGTGACCTGGGCCCTCCTTCCCGTCCGCACGTCTTCCTCCTCTTTCCCAGCGGTCACAGCGTGGGCACCGCGTGGCCCCTCAGCCCGACAGCGCATACTCAGACACATCCTGTGCAGTCCTGCCTGCGGACGCCCGGTGACCGCTGGGGATCACTCAGAGACGCGGAGACTTCCCCCAGCCTTTGCCGTGGCTCCGGTGGGGTGTCATCCCCGTCCGCCAGGGCTGTGGGTTCAATCCCGCTCAGGGCACATGCAAGACCTTAGCAACGAATGCCTCACTAGGTGGGACGACAAAACCAGTGTTTCTCTCTCCCTCCCTCAGTCTCGCTAAAATAATACATTTCCCACAAAGAAACTTGATCCCATAAGATCATATGTCATCTTTCCCGGGGAGGGTGCCCGGTGAGGCGACAGTAGTAACTGGCCCCATGGTCTTCACCGTGAGCATGTGTCAGCGCCTCCTGGGCAGTGTAGACGCAGTCCTGAGTTCCCGGTACCTGGTGCCCCCCACCCCCACCCCCCGAGCAGGCTCGCTGGTGGTGGCGCGCGGCTGGCCCGGGCCACGGGAGCAGGTGTGCGGCCCCCGGCCTGGGCACCTGGTCAGGCGGGTCTGCGGTGCCCGGGCCGGGCGGGGCAGGCAGGAGCCCGTTGTGTCTGTGCGGATGAGCAGGAGTGGGGATCAGGCTGTGTGGCTTTCCCGGGAAAGGCCGTTGGCCAGTGAGTAGCAGACGATGGAAGGTCACAGCTCACGGTGCTTCGGTGGACGCAGCCCGTTTTGTCGTTCGGAGGGAAAGCCGTGCCCTCGGACTCAGCGGGCTGTGCGGCTCAGCATGCTCTGGTCCTGGCGGACAGCGGAGGGAGGGTCACTTGGCGGTGAGGGAGGGCTTTGCTTCTGCAGCTCATTCCGTGAGGGCCAGGCCGAGGGCCTGGCGCCACGCCGCGGCCGTGCCTGGCCCGGCCGTGCCCTCAGCCTCCACGCTCCGAACGAGTCCTGGTGCAGACAGCGCAGCCCCTCCAGGGCGCGCTCACTTCAGCTCTAAAGCGGCCGTGGCTGGTGGACGGCACCTGAGGCGGGAGGGAGTAGTGACTCCATGCCTGTCTGAGCTGGTTCAGTTGTAGGCGGTTTGGGTGTTCCATTAAGGAGTGTGAGGTGTTGAGGGGAGAAAACTATATGTGTGAATTGCTTCCTTTAAACGTAAAGTCATGAAATTTGTTATACGTTTTGGTTTATGAGCAGAGAATTAGCATTAGACCTATTTTACTAATGAAAAAAGTCTTTAATGTAAAAACACCACGTACAGAGCGTTATCACTTGCTCTCACCAGTGAGCTGCGAGCGTGTCTCTTGAACACGGTCACTGGGGGTGATGCGTCTCAGTGGGTCACTGTGGTTCCTTCCTGATGTGGTTCAGTCTGAGGGGCCTGGGGACCCACGGGAGCTGGCCGGCTGCCCATGAGCGCCTCCGCTCAGCATGAGCACGTTTTTTTTTTTCTTTTTAAATATATTTTATTGATCTTTTACAGAGAGGAAGGGAGAGAGATAGAGAGTTAGAAACATCGATGAGAGTCATCTATCAGCTGCCTCTTGCACACCCCCTACTGGGGATATGCCCGCAACCAAGGTACATGCCCTTGACCGGAATCGAACCCGGGACCTTTCAGTCCGCAGACCGACGCTCTATCAACTGAGCCAAACCGGTTTCGGCAAGTTTTAAATGTGTAACTACAGCAACACAGGGTGATGTGTGGTACTGTTGTCATGTAACTAGTGACACCAGAGTTGACATGAGGTATTTAAGAACTGTGTTTGCTGAAAAGACAGAGAAACCCTTTCTCAGCACTGAATACAGTGAGCCTGGGACGTTTGTGGGAAGACGGGGCGGCACCCCTGTCCCCCTGAAGCCCAGGCCGTGGAGGGCGGCTTGCCGTGTCTTGCTCCTGGCTGACCCGTGTGTGACGTTTGTCCTGGTTGCAGCATGAAGCGTGCCCGCTCCCTGAATGTCCTAAACGTGGGCCACAAGGCAGCCGAAGACCATGTCCAAGTAAGGAGCCCGCCCCCGCCCTGATGCCCCCCGGGGCGGGCGGCCACATGGCTGCACGGGCGCTCGCCCTGGGCGGACGGACGGACAGGTGCCACCTGACGTCTCCGAGCATCGCCTGGGCCGACCTATCGGAACGTCACTCGTCAGCATTCTCGGCACGTTAATCAGTGGCCTGAGATGTGGTCTGATCGGCCTGATTAAAATGAAATGTCTGATAGTCATGCAACACTTAGCCTGCCCTCACTCTAGGCGTACTGCTAACTGGCAGGAGCTTAACCTGTGTACCGCGTGGTCCCGTTAAGCTGTTCCTGGTGTGAGGAACCGACATGCTGCCCTAGCATTGACCCTGGGCTCTCGGTCAGCTGTCCAGTCTCCATGAGCGTCACCCTCACATTGAAACAAACCTTTCCCATGTTTGTACGTCTGGTGACTGTGCGGCGCGGCCATGCCTGGGCCCGCCTTGTCTGTCAGGTGCCGGGCAGCCGGGTTCCTCCCAGCAATTGGGCACTGATCCCTAGGCCCCTGCTGGGAGCTCCGGGCGGGGCAGGGGCAGGGGCAGGGCCCGCAGTGGACACGCCTCTCTCCGGGGTCTGGTGGGGCGCCTGCTCATGAGCACCAGGCCTCGCAGACGTGGAGTCTGAGCTGAGGCTGCTGTCCGGCGCCATGCGGAGTGCTGGCTGAGTGTGGCTTTCCCGTTTGTTTTTCACGCAGGAAGGAAGTAAGCGTCTAGCAGACGCGAGAGTGCTGAGTGCCAGCCGCACTGCGGGCCGGGACTAGATAAGCCGAACCCGCCAGGCCCCTGCCTGCGCTGCCCGCGCTGCCCGCAGGGAGGCTGCTCGCCGCCTCTGCCAGGTGGTGACCACCCACGGAGGCTTGTCCCAACTGTTACGTGCCCTGCAGTCCTGGTGCCCGCGCTGCCGGGGCGTGACCGCCAGACGGCCCGGCCCCCCGCTAGTTTACACTCGGTCCTCAGTGGGCTGTAAGCGGAGCGTCTGGAACCGAAGTCCGTCCTTGGAGAATAAGCATCTAATGACCTGTGAGGTCTGGAGCGCTGGATGTGGTGGGGACCAGGGGAGGAGTCCCTCGGGTGCCGGGGCCCACCCACCCACCCTGCAGAGTCCTGGCTGCACACCAGGCACCCATGTTTCCTGTTTGAAAAGCTTTTTGGTTCTGTAACAGGGTGGGGTGTGGCAGGGACACCTTCCGATCAGCCGGAGGCAGTTCCCCAAGGGGCTGAGCCAGCCAGTAGGGAGGGCCAGGCAGGTGGCAGGTGGGGCTCCAGGTGACAACACCGGGCACACGGGCACGTCCACACCGGCCGGTGCTTCGTTCAGCACGGGCGGCCGCCAGCCCGAGGACCACGGGTGCCCAGCAGGCCCGGCTCTGATATTCCCTCTGGCCTTTCCCGCACGGACAGTGCTGGGCCGGCTCCGAGCTGCCTGGCCCGGTGTTGTCAGCCTGAGCGTGGACTTGGCTGGAGGCAGCGGCACCAGGGCCGTCACGGCAGCTGACACTTCCTGCCTCTCAGTCCCCGGTAGCCAGAGGCTGTGTGTTGGCGACTGTGCTCCTCGTTCCTGGTGTCCCAGCAGCCACCTCCCGTGGCCACCCTGCCTTGTGGCTCCATTGCGGTCTGCAGGTCCCTTTATAAATGCACACGCTGGAGAGGGCTCCGCCGGGTGCTCTGTCCCCTCAAGGTCAGGAGGGTCCAGGGTGCCATCCCCTCTTCTCTGCTCCACATGGTTGGCTTCTCTCCGCGAGCAGTCTGGCACCCGGGACCCAGCGCCCCTGGCACAGACCCCTCAGCGCGGCTCCCAGGAGAATGGACCAGGACTCCGCTGCCGGGCCCGTCCACCAGGGGACAGCGCACTGGTGCCCTCGCAGGTTGGGAGGGTTAGGGGTGACGACTCCATGCCCAGGGCCCAGGCCCGCTGCCCGTCTCCCCTTCTCAGAGCAAGCGGTGTGCCCTGGGCCATGCTCCTGGGGGCCACCCTGAGGGCACACAGGCCCCACCCCTCAAGCGCCTGAACCAGAGCCCGAGGGCAGGGGGGGGGAGCAGGCTGCTGACCCACCAGCCTGTGGGGAGGGGTGCAGGCAGCTCGGTCCTGGGGTTCAAAAGCTGGGAGGTGTCATGTGACGGGACTCGGCGCTCACGGAGAATTATGGACACAAGGACCTGCACGTAGGGCAGGACCGGTCTCGCCATGTAGCGTGTTCTTGGAGTGGACGGTGCAGGCTTCATGGGACGCGCTCATGTGCACACTTGGCAGCTGGTCACGGGCAGACCAGCGGGTCCCAAAGGAGCCGCCCCAGGGGGAATGTGGTCCCAGCGGGGCTGACCCGGGGGTGGGGTGGGTGCAGGTCTGACGTGAGGGTGCTGAGGCCCGGGGGGGGGGAGGGGGGTGCAGGCTGGTGCTCCTTAGGGACTGGGCTCCTGGCCTGTCTGTGCTGCGTGGGCAGCCCTGGGTGGGGAGGGGGAGCAGATGACTGGGTCGTTGGAAACGGCGGTTCTGGGGCTGTAGTTGTTTCCATTGTGACTTGACTAGAAAATCGTTTGCAATTGTTTGTATTTTGTTACAAAAATAAAGCTTCACTTCCCACTGCCTGTGAGGCCCCCCCCTCTCCTGACGCTGCCAGCGCTGCAGGCGCCGCCTCCCCCACACCGGCCCCACCTCACAGGGCACGGCGGCAGGAGATGTGATGCATTTAGATGGGCCACCTTGCCACAGGAAGGTCCCGTCCCAGGGGTGGCTGTCCCCTCGCGTTGAGGGTGGCAGAGGGTGTGGCAGGTCCTTGGCTGCTTGGTGCCCCCGTTTCAGGCGCCGCCTCTGGGGATGGGAGCAGGAGCGAGGGTCACTCAGAACTTGCCTGGCCAGGAGAGTCGCAGCGACAGGCCCTGGGGCACACGCCAGGCAGCACGTGAGGCGCTGGGCAGGGAGCAGACGGGTGGAGACGTGGAGACAGACTCGGCTCTGCCCACATGGAGGCCATGCTCTCTGGCTGGGCAGCCGCAGCCCCTGTGTCCACCAGCAGCTGGTCAGAGTCGCCTGGGGGCACCCAGAGGGGCAGGACCTGTGCTAGGGGGCCCGTTCTCCTGGGAAGCACCCCCCCCCCCCGCCATGGCGAGGAGCTGGGCTGTGCGGCCCTGCCAGGCGTCCAGCCGGGTCCCACCAGCACCTAGGACGGGCAGGGCCTGCCACTGAGGGAGTCCTGTGCCCGGGATGGCTTTTCCTAGCAGATGGGCCGGCTTCTCACAAGACACCTGGCGGCCGACCCCACGGGGGTGGGGGGTGGGAGAGACCACACAAAGCGGAACCTCCGGACCTGCTTCGGAACGGGCAGCTGCGGGGCGCGCAGTGGGCCGGCTCCCGGGGCCGCGCTGACGGGAGAGCTGGCCCGGAGGCGCACCTGGGAGGCCGGGCGGCTAACCGCTCAGCAGGACTGGGTCCCGGGCGCCCCTCGCACGCCCTCGGTGCTGACGGTGTAGGAACAGGAGGAGGGGGGCAGGTGGGGGGCGAAGACCACCCTCAGCGTGCGGCTGGGGCGCCCCCCCGGGGCTTCCTCAGGGCGCTGCCGGTCGGCCACCAGCCTCATGAGCAGCTGGTTGGACCAGGCGATGCCGAGGGCTGGAACCAGGCGCTCCCCTGGGGCCCTGAGGCAGAGACGGCTGGGGTCACTCACAGAGCCAGGGGGCCCGCCCCAGCCCCGCCCCCCTGCCCACAGCCACTCACCGGGGCACCGAGTCCTGTTCCTCCACGGCCTCCGTCACCTGGGAGGTGGGGGAGGGTCAGTGGCAGAGCACCCCCTGGTGGCAGGAGGGCAGGAGGGCGGGTGGGGTCCCACCTGGTTGACACAGAGCACGGGGCTCCGGAAGGCGCAGCTCAGCCGGCGCAGCGCGGCCCCCAGCGCCTGCAGAGCCCGGGCCCTGCGCGCCGCGGCCGGCCCGGCCAGCTCACAGCGGAACGGGGCCGCCACCGAGTCGACGACCACCAGGCGCGCCAGCCCCCGCGCCAGCAGCAGCGGCACCTTCCTCCTCACGCACTCCAGCAGCGCATCCTGGAACGGGAGGGGCTGTCACCCGTCCCCACCCCTCCGCGTCCTCCTCCCCAGGTCCTCCCTCAGCGGCCGGGCGCCTGGTGCTGGCCCGTCCCACGGCAACTGGCACCATGCCCGGTGCCTCAGGCCGGGGGCCCTGAGCCTGGCGGAGGTGGAGGGGGCAGCAGGCCGGGTTGGGTCTCCTCACTCAGCCCTGCCTGGGACGAGGGGACCCCGGGCCACGCCTAGGCTGCACACGGGCCGTGCTCCCAGCAGCCGGCCCGGTGGGTGAGGGCCAGGCCGGCGGGGCTCCTCAGGCCGTCCCCGGGGTCACGAGCCCTGCCCCTCACTCTTCGGAGCGCGGGGCCCTCGCCCTGACTTCGGCCGGCTGTCTGCTTGTCTGCAGGGTCCCTCCGGAAAACGACAGCGGCGGCAGCGGGGTCGAGGACGCCAGTGTGAACGTGAGTCGCGGGCGGGCGGGGCCCGGCACCCGGGGGCCTCCAGGCAGACCCCGGGCAGAGGGCGGGGCCTGGCCTGACCGCAGCTTCTCTCGCAGTGAGCCCCCGCTGAGGGCCAGGCACGCCGCCGGCGAGGCACGCCGCCCTGTGACAGCCGGCACCGCCCTGTGACAGCCGGCACCGTCCGCCGCTGAGGGCCCAGGGGGAGCTGCAGCGTGGACCTCCTGGCCGCACCGTGCCCGGCGGTCACTAACCACCTGCTCGGCGACGCGGAGCCACGGCCACACTGGGCCGCGCGCGGGACGGGAGCTGCCCGTCCCTCCCCTCACTGTGTGATACTGTACTTTATTGTAAATTTTATAAGATTAAAAAGTTTATATGTCTATTACTGACGTGAAGTTCTTTGTATGACAGCTGTCACAGCAGGAAGCCAGGCCGGGGAGAGCCCCCACCTCCTGTCTTCCCCAGCCCCTCCTGCTCACCGCCGCCTCCACCAAACCACGGCCCACGGGGGTGCGCAGCGTGGCGGGCGGCTGGCCCTGGGGGCGTCCAGGCCGGCGCCTCCCTCAGACGGGCTGGCGCTGGCCCACTCACCACGTCGGCCACGTGCTCGATGAAGATGTGGTCACCGAAGCGGATCTCCCCCAGCTCCTGGTCCGGAGCGTCTGTCCGCAGACGCCGCTGCTGCGCCATGAGCTGCTGCAGGCGCCGGTCGGGGAACGCGTCCTCCGTGCACACGTACACGGCCCCTGTGGAGCCGCGGCGCCGTGAGCCGCAGGCTGGTGTGCGGCCCGCTAGGGCCAGGCGCCACAGCCCAGGGACTCGCTGCTGGCCGGGGCCTCTGGGCCCACATGGGGCAGGGCTGGCCACTCTCCTGGAGGCATCGCACAGCCACGGGGAGAAAGACAGACGGCAGGAGGCAGCCCTGTCCCAGCCACGACGGGCAGCGGCCACACACACACACCCGCTCTGAGGCGGCACTCACCGGCCTCCAGGCCTCCCAGCCGCCGCGGGAGCTGCACGGTCAGGCAGAGCTGCAGCGCCAGCTGAGTCTTCCCCACCGAGCTGCGGCCGGCCAGCTCGGTGATGCCGCCCAGGGGTAGGCCGCCGCGGAGCAGCCCGTCCAGCACCGGGCAGCCCAGGCTCAGGCGCTGGTGCTGCTCGGGGAAGCGCCCCTTCTGCTGCTGCAGGTCCAGTGCTGGGGGGAACGCGGCGTCAGGAGGGGCGAGGCCGAGGGCCGGGTGTGGCAGCCAGGAGGCCCCCCGGCAGCGGGGCTCTGCAGAGGGCCGGCGTCCTGCTCCGGCCCCTCGGCCTCGCCCCTCCCATCTGGCCCCAGCCTGCCCCTGCCTGCGGTCTCTTCTCACCGAGTCCCTGCCCGGGGCCCAGCCTGGAGCTGGGCGCAGACGGGAGGAGGCCCGGGGCCTGGCAGAGCACGCGTGCTGCTCACCTGTGCAGAGGCTGCCTCCCCGCAGGTGCGAGCAGACCGTCCTGAGCAGGTGCTGCACGTCGGGGCCCGAGAGGCCGGTCAGCCGCTGCAGGTCTGGTCCAGAAAAGTGCAAAACCTTCTTCACGGAGGTCAGTTTGGCTGGAATTAAACAAAATAAGCCACAGGTCAAGGTCAGACAATACCAAGACAGCAGGGACTCGGGGAGCATTGTTCCAACTCGGGGGGCTCCGCGGGCAGGGGCCAGACCATCTGCTCCCCCGAGGTGGCATCCTGGGCAGAGTGAGGACACAGGACAAGGAGGGAGGGATCCAGAGCAACCCCCTCAGCTGCAGCAGCGAAGCCAGGTGGGTGGGGGTGCAGGGCCTCTCCCACGTCCTTCCGGCCAGCCAGCAGGGGCTGGGGCTGGGCACCCAGGAAGCAGGTGGGCGGCTGGGCGCCCTATGGGCACCTGGAAAGGAACTGCAGGCGCCTGGCGGACTGGGAGAAGGTGGGAGACTCGGAGGAATGCAGGGCATGGGAAAGGAGGCAACGACCAACTACTAACGTGGGGGAATGAGACGGTCACCCCACCCCAGTCCCTCACACTCCCGAGCGGGCGTGGCCAGTGTGGTCCATCTGGGGGCTGTGGGCGCCACGGGCACAGGCACAGCAGTGCGCCCGGCGTTCAGAACCCGGGGTACGGACAGGGCTCCGTGGCGAGTGGCTACAGTCACTGCTGACCACCTGCACGTGCTACGTGGGTGAAAATGAACTTAAAAAAGTGCTTTCAGCCAGGACCGGTTTGGCTCAATGGATAGAGCGTTGGCTTGGGGACTGAAGGGTCCCGGGTTCGATTCCCGTCAAGGGCATGTACCTTGGTTGCGGGCACATCCCCTGTAGGGGGTGTGCAAGAGGCAGCTGATCGATGACTCTCTCTCATCGATGTTTCTAGCTCTGTATCTCTCTCCCTTCCTCTCTGTACAAAATCAATAAAAAATATATTAAAAAAAAAAAAAAGTGCTTTCAGCCACACGCCCAACTGAAAAGCCTGCCACACGCACCCAGCATCCTCGCAGGATCCAGAGCAGCGCGGGGTGGGGCCGTGGGAGGAGGGGGCGCGGGAAGGCCTTTACAGAAAGTACACAGACAGTGTCTGCGCGTGCGTACGCTGCGCACCAACGCCAGGAAGTCTACCTCTCTTCACTGCGGCGATGATTCTGGGGTTCAGGTCCAGCTGATCCCAGTCCATTTCTTCAGGGCGGGGACCACAGAGACAAACAGTTTCCGGGGACACAGGTTCTGGGCGCCAGCGTCAGCCGGATGGCCCAGCGGCCCCTGAGCAGGGCAGGGCTAAGGCAACACCTGTCGGAGCCGCCATCTGGTAACAGAAACCTTGGCACGGAAGAAACCCCCAATTCCTGTCACCACAGCACCCCGCTGTCCTGTCCCCGGCTCCCTTCAGCCCGGCCCGCCCTCCCTCCCTGGGGGAGGACAACCTGCAGACCCTGGGCTCATGCACAGAAAGTGTCTTTTGTATCCTCTGTTTTAATTTCTCGAATGCGTTTCCCTGGGGAATCTGCAAAGAGCGGGAAAGCGTTAGGGATCTTGCAGGGTGCTGGGGGAGGTGGGTGTTGGAGCTGTGTGACCACCGGGCTGTCCTCCGGGCTCGTTCTCAGCCCTTTCGGCGAAGGTATGCACTCGCACGGGCAGCAGCACCGCTGCCCGCTCCGAAACGGCCCCACCGTGGTCCGGCAACACCTCGGGCCACACAGCCAGCCCGGGGCTCGGCTCCAGGCGGCATGCCTTCAGCCCTTGATCGGTGTTAGCCTCCTGTTCCTCCGGCGGGCACTGCTCCCTCTGCCCACTCTGAACCCTAGGCACTCAGGGGCCCACCTGCTCAGGGCCGGCCCACCCTCTGGACTGGGCATCTTTCCTACCCGCCAGCGAGGACCTGCGGGGTCCGCGGTGGCCACCCTCCTCCCACGCTTGGACCCCGGGTCTCCTCCTCTGGGAACCCCCTCCCTTTTCAGCCCCAAAGCCGTGAGCACTCCACCCCCAGGGACCCCCTGACCCGGGCGTCCGCGTGGCCCTCCCGATGGCCCCACCGCCCCACCGGACACCCCTTCTCCGTGGTGTCCGCCCACCACCTGGACCCCACTCTGTCTCTACCTCGAAAACACCCCAACTTCACGCGGTCCGGGCTCACCTCTCCCCCCACGAGCCCCGGGCTGCCGCCATCACCCCAACAGGGGCTGGGCTGCGCCGCCTCCGCCAGACCCTGCGCGTGGCAGCCCCAGCATCAGCCTTCTCCCCGCGCGCCGGCCCCAGGCCGCCTCCCGCCGCCGCCAGGCCCGCAGTCCAGCGCCCGGCCGCAGGACAGCAGCTCCCACCTCGCGCGCGCGCTCCACCATTAGCGTCGTCCCGCCCCTCGCGGCCTCCTCTTCCAATGAGCGCCAGGCGCCCCGCGCGGGATACGCCAATCAGAGAGGAAGCAGCGTTACGTCACAGGATAACTGACCAATCCAAAGTCTCAATCGCCCCGAGAGGGGCGGAGCGTGCCTGGGCTGGCCCTCGCTGCCGATTGGTGACTGACCTCAGGGTGGCAGGGGCGGTGCCCTTGCACAGATTGGAGAGCGCAGCGATGGGGCGGAGCCCGAGCTCCGATTGGCCCGAGCTCCGGGCCAAGCGTGCCGATTGGGCGCGGGCGCTGTCAGCGGCACGGACGGGGCGGGGCTTTGGTCGGGGCGGACGAGGGCAGTGTGAGGGCGGTGGGCTCGCGCGGCGGCGTCATGTCCTCCGAGGTGGCCGCCCGCTGCGACGCCAAGAAGTTGGTGCGCTCGCCCAGCGGCCTGCGCATGGTGCCCGAGCACCGCGCCTTCGGCAGTCCGTTCGACCTGGAGGAGCCGCGGTGGGTCCCCGACAGGGAGGTAGGTCTCGGCCGCCCGCCCGCCCGCCTCCCGTCGGCGCCCTGACCCGCGTCCGCCTCCAGGGCCCCCTCCGAACCCCGAGAACCCCGGTCCGCGCCCTGGAACCCGGTCCGCGCCCAGGATCCCTGTCCCCCAAGCGCGCCCGGACCCGCCCCGCCCCCGAGGCCCTCCTCAGCCCGACCGGCTCCCCGCGTCCCGCGCCCCTCCGGTCCCCGCAGGCCGCCCGGCACCTGCTCTGGCCCCTGGGTGGTCCCAGGCTCCCGGACCCCTGGTGCTGCCAGTTCCCGCTCTCGGGGCGCCCAGCCTCCCCTCCAGCCCAGTCCCCTCACCCTGGAGCCCCCTTTCCCCCTGGCCGGCTCCGGGCGTCTGGTGCCCGCCTGTGGGTGACACCCAGCCCCTCCCTCCGGAGGAATGAAGTCGGGGTTCACAGCGGCCGGGTGAGAGGGGCAGCTGGGGCAGGGCCACTGGAGGAGGCCCCCCTGTGGGCGCGGAGAGCTGGGGCCCCACGGGGCGGGGTGCTGGGGCGGCGGTGGGGAGGCGGTCGCTGAGCGCCGGCTGCCTGTCTCCTGGCCCTGTTGCGCCCTTTCTTGCCGGCGATCTGCCGGCGGCGGGTGCCTGAAGGGAGGGCCCCTTTCCTCCCGGCCCCTCCAGCCCCGCAGGGAAAGGCCATCAGAGGGAGAGGCAGCGCCGTCAGGGGAGGCCGCCGTGGAAGTCAGGAACAGGGAGGCGCAGTGGCCTGGGAGGCCAGCGCGTCCCCTCCGAGGCGGGAAGCGGGCCACACCCTTAGAACTGCCGGTCACTGTGCCATCCCCTGTGCCATCCCCTGGCGTCTCCCCGCTCTGCCCGAGGAGCCTCTGGACACCCTTTCTCTCACTGCCCCGTGGAGCCCGTGCTGCTGGGCTGAGGGGGCCGTGGTCAGGCCGTGGTCGGGCGCCCCTGGTTTCCCCGGAGGCAGTTCCCCAGCCCATGGCGGGCCCCAGCGCCCCCGCTCCCAGCTCCGACGGCTCGCCCCGCTCCCAGCCCGCGGCTGTGCCCTGGCTGCCCCGCCCTGCAGGCCTGCAGGCAGAATTCAGCCCGGGGGGGGGGGTGTGCCTGGAGGCCCGCCCGGGCGGCCAGGGAGCCTGCTCAGCCCGCAGGCTCTTGCGAAATTCCGAGAGTTGGGTGAAGAGTCCGCTCAGTGGGCGCCCCTCCCCCCGGCTCCCTTCCCACGCTGGCAGGAGGGCGGGCCCTCCGAAAGGAGGTGTGGCGCCACGCTGTGTCCTCCCTGGCCCGGGCAGTGCCAGCTGTCACGCTGGGGGCACTCCGCTGGGCAGGGTTCGGGGCTTGCTCCCTCATGGAGGCCGCGGCGGGAGAGGTGCCTTGGGGGTGGTTCGCCGGGTGTTAGGTAGACGGAGGCTGTGACCCAGGCCTGGGGGCCTTTTCCTGCCTGTGGCCCGTTATCTGCGTGGCCCGGGCCTCCCGGGGAGGGCGGGGGTGGGGGAGCTGTGTGTGGTGCCCAGGGGACCCAAGGTTCCTCAGCCCCTTGGAGGTCAGCCCGTGACGGCTGTGGGGCCCGCAGCCCGGCGCCCGGCAGGACTGAGCAGCTGGATCCCAGACATTGCAGTGCGGGGGGGGGGGGGGGGGGGGTCGGGGGGGTCGGGGAGCCCTAAGCTTGAGCGCACTCTGTCCCCCCAGGTAGCAGTTCTGGGCGCCTCCTTCCATGCTGCTGTCAGACACGGGGTCACTCCCTTCCTCTCGGATCTCACCTGTTGCTTCATTTCCTTCTCTCGTTCTCTTCGAATTAAATGGCTCCGTTGATAATTTCACGTTTTTCTCTTACACGGTCAACGGGAAACCGCCTGGCTTAAGGTCTGCCGGTTTTCTGAATAACCTCATTGGTTACTTAGCGGGATAAAATGCTTCTGTGTCACTTTGGTGTTTGCTCTTTTGTGAATCCTCACCCCCCTGGTATTTTTTCCCATTGGTCCTTTTCAGAGAGAGTGGAAGGGAGGGGGAGAGAGGAACAGCAAAGTGAGAGAAGCACACTGATTGGTTGCCTCCCCACCTGCCCTGACCAGGGCCAGGGATGGAGCCTGCAATGAAGCTGCATGCCCTTGACCAGCCTCGAACCCGGGACCCTTCAGTCCACGGGCCAACATTCTAACCTCTGAGCCAAACCAGCTAGGGATTCGCTTTGGTTTTTAAGGGAGCAACTTGTAAGTTCAGAGGTTGGTCTTTGGACTTGTCCAACACGTGTGCCCTGCAGTGACCGGCGGGGAGGACACAGGCTCGTCCGGAGCTGTCACACTGGTGGGACCCGCTCCCCGCCTGCGCCTCTCCCGCCCGTCAGCCTCCTGGTTACAGCCCGTGGGCTCTCCCCGGGGGCCCGTGCTGGGGGTGTCGTCCCAGGAGGGAGTGGCCCTATGCAGTGGCCGGGGCACGGGAGCCGCCAGCCCATGCGGAGGCTGTGGGGATGGAGGGCCAGGCCGTGTCCACGCCCAGGAAGTAGCCCAGAGGAAGGAGGGCCACAGGGTGACTCGGTGGCTGTAGCATCGTCCTGGACACCAGACAGGTTGCGGGGTCAGTCCCTGGTCAAGGCGCACACACGAGGCAACTGACCGACGTTTCACTCTTTCTCCCTTCCTCTCCCACATCAACAGGCAGGGCCTCGGGTGGGGTCTTTAAAAGCAGAGCAAACAGGATGGGCTCGGGGTCTCGCCCTCTGCTGCCGGGCTGCGGGGCACAACTGGCCTCCGCAGCCGGGCTCCCTGCCGGGCCGGGCCGCCGCCCCCTCCAGGAGACCTGCCTCTGCCTCCCGGACGCTGAGAGCCGGGCAGGGCCCTCGGAGTGGCTGACAGCTGCCCTCTCTCCTAGTGCCCGCGGTGCATGCAGTGTGACGCCAAGTTTGACTTTCTCACCAGAAAGGTGAGCTGAGGCCCGGGCGGGAGGGGCCGTCCCGGACATCCGCTCTCCCCGCCGAGGCAGCAGGGCCGTGGCCCGGGAGGGGCCCTGTGGTCCCGCTGACCGCCCGCCTCCCCCCCCCCCCAGCACCACTGCCGCCGCTGCGGGAAGTGCTTCTGCGACAAGTGCTGCGGCCAGAAGGTGGCGCTGCCGCGCATGTGCTTCGTGGACCCCGTGCGTCAGTGTGCGGCCTGCGCGCTCGTGTCCCGCAAGGAGGCCGAGTTCTTCGACAAGCAGCTCCGCCTGCTGCTCAGCGGTAGGTGGCCGCGCCTGGTGGGCCTGGCGGTGCCAGCGGAGGGGGCGGTGCCAGCGGAGGGGCGGAGCCTGAGGGGGCGGTGCCTGAGGAGGGGCGGTGCCTGGAGAAGGGCGGTGCCTGGAGAAGGGCGGTGCCTGAGGAGGGGGCGGTGCCTGAGGAGGGGCGGTGCCTGGAGAAGGGCGGTGTCTGAGGAGGGGGTGGTGCCTGGAGAAGGGCGGTGCCTGAGGGGGGCGGTGCCTGGAGAAGAGCAGTGCCTGAGGAGGGGGTGGTGCCAGCGGAGGGGGCGGAGCCTGAGGGGGGCGGTGCCTGAGGAGGGGCGGTGCCTGAGGAGGGGCGGTGCCTGAGAAGGGCGGTGCCTGGAGAAGAGCAGTGCCTGAGGAGGGGGTGGTGCCAGCGGAGGGGTGGTGCCAGCAGAGGGGGCGGAGCCTGAGGAGGGCGGTGCCTGAGGAGGGGGCGGTGCCTGAGGGGCGGTGCCTGAGGGGGCGGTGCCTGAGGAGGGGATGGTGCCTGCAGCTGTCCCCAGGACGCTGCCTAGGGTAGGAGCCAGCTCTCCCGCAGATGCAGACAGGCCTGAACCACTGCCTCCCTGGGTGGGTTCGGGCCTCCAGCTGGTATGCTCTCCGGTGGGGCCCAGGCCCGTGCAGCTCAGTTCTTACTCGGGTGCCAGGACCGGGTCCCCAGACCACAGGGCCAGCAGCATGCGGGACCTTGGCCTGGCCATTTTGGGAGGTGGTGAGGCAGGAGGACTGAGGGTCTGCCGCCCGCACACCTCCACCTCTGCCCGCCTGGTCCTCGCCCTGGCCAGCTCTCCTGCAGGCCTGCGTGGGCCCTGCGGCCTGGCCTGGTGGCTCCTGCGGGGGGTGGAGGTCTGGGCCGGGGCTGGGCCTGCCTGTGAAGGGCATGGTGATTGGTGCTTCCACGGCCAGCGGAGCTAACGCAGAGCCAGTGCCGTCCTGCCCAGCGAGGGCTCTGGCAGCGCGCGCTGTCTGGCTCCTCTCCTCCCTCCGTGGCCACAGTGGGCGCACTGTGCCCCCCAGGGGCTCCTGCGGCCTCCAGCTCTCCTGCCCCAAAGGGCGGGGTCGTCTCTGTGGAGCCTGAGGCCGGGTGGAGGGCGGGCTGGCAGGGTGACACTGCCTGGTTCTTACGCTTGTTTTTGTGCCTCAAGGAGCCACCTTCCTTGTAAGTTTTGGAAACTCCGAGAACTCAGAAACGATGGTTTGTCGTCTCTCCGGCAACCAGAGGTAAGAGGCAGAGCCCGCGGGCACCGACAGCTGCCCCAGAGCCTTGGTGACGGGACGCCCTCCGTTTGACAGATACCTGCTGCTGGACGGGGCCAGCCACCACGAGATCCAAGTCACACACATCGCCGCCGTGCAGGTCCTCACGGAGGGCTTCCCCGCCGGAGGTAATGCGCCTGCCCATCACGGAACGGAGGCCGGGGCCTGCTCGGGCGGCGGGGACACAGCAGCGGCTCCCTGTGGGCAGGTCGGGGCTCCCTGTGGTTGGGCTCCCTGTGGGCAGGTCAGAGCTCTCCTGTGATCAGGGTCCCTGTGGTCGGGGCTCCCTGGGGGCCGGTCGGGGCTCTTCTGTGGCTCTAGGGACTCTCCAGGCGAAGGGGGGACAGGGCGCAGCGAGTACAGGAGGAAGGGGCGCCTGCGCAGGCTGCCCAGAAGCTCCCCTGTAGCGCCCCGGCCACGGGTGCAGGCACGTGCGGCTGGCCGCCCCGGATCCCAGGGGCTGGCGCGTGTCTGCGAGGGCCAGGCCTCCGCTTCCCTCCGCGAGCTCCCCAGGTCCGGCCTGCTCAGCCCGGCGGACCTTCCCACTGAGCTCCTGGGCCGGGCTGTCTCTCCGCGGAGCCGCCCACTTACTCCGTCTTGCTCTCTCTTTCTATGGCTCTGGCTGCTCTCCTCTCCCGCCTGCCTACCTTCCTGTCTAGACAAAGACACGCACACTTACACCAGCCTCCTGGGGAGCCTGCCCGCCTCCGAAGGTCAGCCTCGCGCTCCCAGCATGCTGTGGGCCCGGCCCGCCTCTGCTTCTGCTGGGGTGGGGGGTCACACGAGGGCCTCTGAGAAACGCTCATTCACTCTTCCGGTCACGTTGAAAGAGGGTTGGGTCAGAGATGTGGGCATCTAAGCACCAATGAGACTGTCCCGGGAAAGACGTGGGTTTGCTGTCCTCCTAACCCAAGGGGGTGTGTCGCCCCTCTTTCCAACCTCTCCTTGGAACTGCTGTCCCTGAGCAGCTGGGGTGCAGGGTGTCGGAGTGGGAAGAGGGTGGTGCTGCCGGCACCTTTCTGCCCGTCACAGCAGTGCACTGTGCTCCTCCAACGGCCCCCTGCGGCCTCTGGGCTTGCCTGACCCGACGAGGCAGCTGGGCAGTGTCACCACCTAGTTCCTGGCTGGCTTGGCAGTGGGCGGTCTGATCTGCTCCGGGGCCAAGGGCAGGATCTGGAGAAGCCGGGTCAGGTCAGCCCAGGGGCCCTCTCCCCGCCTCCTTGGAGCCTGAGGCCAGGGAGGTCAAGGCCGCCCCTAGTAGTAACTATTAAGGTTTGCCAGCCAGAGGAGACGGGCCCATGGCTGTGCCGGTGAAACTCCTTAGAGGCAGAAGCTGGGCGGAGCCCAGACTGACCGGAGCGCAGGAGTGACCTTGGGACAGGTCATAGGAGGTCTTCGGGCCTCTCAACCGGGACTCCTCCCGCCGGCCTGGTGCAGGGAGGCTGGACGCAGGGGCAGCCTCCTGCAGCCGCCAGGGAGTGTAGGTGACTCCTGGGGACCTGCTGTGGCCGGTTCGGAGAGGTTTTGACAGGAGTCGTCCAGGGAGCAGCTGGCAGAAATGGCACCATCTCAGCGCCCACCCCCCCACATGGCATCATTGCGGGAGCTCAGTATCTGGGTAGAGGCGTCCCTGGGCTGGTGACCGGGTGCTGGTGCCTCCCTGGTGCTAAGCCCTGCGCAGCCCCCTCAGCTGTGACCCTGGTCCTCAGGGAGGGCAGCACTGACCGCCTGGCCTCTGCCCTGGTGCAGGAGGTGTGACTGAGCGAGGCCCAGCCACCTCCTAGACCTGCACCAGGGTAGGGGGCACCCTGGCCACACCTGCTTTCAGTCTGCCGCCTCCCTCCCCCAGGGGGCGCCGCTCGGGCCACGGGCATGTCCCTGCAGTTCTCGGCACCAGGGGCGGAGAGCGTGGCCCAGCTGAAGCTGACTGCAGGGGAGGATGCACATGGCAGCAGGAAGCAGGCGATGGCGTGGCTGGCAGCCATGCACAAGGTACGGGGCCGTGGTGGTTGGCACAGGGGCAGGCGGGAGACTGGCTCCTGCTGAGAGGGCCCAGCTTCCCCAGGGCAGGACTGCCCCACCCAGCTCCAACCGGCCTGGCCCCGTCACATTGCTGTTTCTGGTTGCCATGCAGGCCGCCAAACTCCTCTACGAGTCTCGGGACCAGTAACTGCACAGGCCAGCAGTGTGCGTGGACATGGAGCCGGCTCGCTGCCTCGCCCTGATGCCACGCGAGACTGGGGGACAGACGGTTCCCTTACCCAGTGCGATCCGCCCGCCGTTTATTAACACGCCGGCTTCCGGCTTCCGGCCTGTTTTCCTGTTGAAGCCTCAGTGGGTGGAGGCCCAGCTACACTACCGCTAACTGCCTGTAGCATAAGCTTTGCCACGTGTTTATGAGTCCAGGTTTACTGGGAGGTTCTGGACCCTCCTCTCCGTGAATTCTCTCACGGCCACCCGGGCCCTGCAGCGGCCGGAGCGCCTGTGGGGTCACTGACACTAACGCGGCTCTCAAGCCTCTGACCCTTCACTGCGGGAAGGAGCGGCTGGGCCGTACTTTTCACTCCCGTCTCACTTTATTAGAACAATTGTACAGCCGTTTGTATGTAAAGCTTGATTAAACCCTATTTTAACAACGCGGCCTGGCCTGGCCTCATTGTGGGGCCCGCCGGGCGTCCCTGCGGTGGCTCCGCCCACTCAGACAGACTCGTAGCCGCGGGGAGAGTTTATTGTGCACGTCACGCGGCATCAGGGGGCCGGTGCCCGGCAGAGGCTGCCCGGCCTTCGCCCCATCAGTGCCGTGCACGCTCCGTGCTTACAGGGAACCAGTACAGCATGGGTCTATACACACGTCTATACATAGTTATACACAGACTCGTACGTGGAAATAAAGCCAGGGGCCTGGGACCGAATGAAACACCGCGCACCTCCAGTGCCATCTGTAGGGAACGCTCTAGTCAAACACTTTTGGTACAAAGGCGCAGCTGCCTTCAGTGGTGGGTCTCCTGCGTGACGTCTGGACCTGCCAAGGTCACACCATCACGCCTGGCCCAACGGGGAGGCCCACCTCATGACCAAGCTGCCCCTCCCAACAACCGTGCCTCCCAGTGACTGACCTCAGGTCTCGGCCTGCACTACACTTGGGGTCCCACCCAGCCCCAACCAGGCAGAGCCGACCGCATTTCTGTTTCCGGTTCCCGTGGATGAATGGAAAGCCGAGGGCTGAGGGGGTAAGAACCACACCTGGGCAGCAAGAGGCAGCGGGCAGAGGAGGGTGGGGGGCTCCTGGCCACGGTCCCTTGGTCTGAGGTCCCTGCCTGGGGCCGAAGCCCCGCCCCATGGGGGGGACAGGAAGTGGAGCCCCCCCGCAGGCTCCTCTGTCATGAAGGAAGAACCTCGTGCTGAGGGGCCCAGCGGAGACGGCAGGGCTCGGGGAGCACGCACAGAAGCGGGCGTGTCACTGCTGGTGAAGGACATGGAGCATGAGGGCGGCCTTGGGGCCACTGTCCAGGGTTCACTCTAGGGCTTCCACTGGCCACAGGTGTAGGAAGCTGGGCATTTATTGGGGTGACAGTCACTGGAAAGCTCAGTCCTCGGGAGGCGGCGGCCTCCGGAGCCTGCAGTTCACATTGTGGGTTCTGCTGCGTGAGCACCGTAGACTTCAGCCTCCGCGGCAGCGACGGCAGGGGCCTCAGCGGCTCAGGCCAGCGTTCGCTGCCGGGGCTTGATCCGAGGACACAGCTGGGAAGACAAGCATCCGGGTCAGCTTCCGTCAGCCACCCGGGAGGCCCTGCCCGACACCCTGAGCGCCAGCACCCAGCCCCGCTCCACCCGGCCCGAGACCCCTCTCCCTGGACCTGCAGGCTGCTCCCCTCCTCCCCACCTCCCCAGTGAGCCTGTTCTGGGCTGCAGAGCTCTGATTGGGGTGAGACGGGGGGGTGGGGGGGGGAGGGGGGAGAGGCCGCACTGAGTGGCTGGGCTGGGGCTGGGCCTCCCACAGGGCAGAGGGCTGAGCGGGGAGGGCAGCGCCTGTCCGATCCCCAGCTGACTCCGGCACAAGCTCGGCGCGGCTGCGCACTCACCCCCAGCAGGTTTCTGGGCACGTAGCCCTCCCGGTCCCCCAGGCGGGCCCACCACCACTCGGTCTCGTGCTCGTCCTTGCGCCTCAGGATGGTGATGGCGTCGCCTTCGCGGAAGGACAGCTCGTCGCTGTTCTGGGCCTCGTAGCTCCACAGCGCGTACACCATGCCCTTGTTCATCACGCCCAGCTTCTCCTGCACCCCTGCAGCAAGACGGCACCCGGTCAGAGAGCCCCACTGCGGGACCAGACCGACCACTGCTGCTCTCGGGCGGCCCAGCGAGGCCGAGGTGAGACTCCGGCCCGAAGTCAGGCCCAGCTGCTGCCCGCGCTGGGCCTCAGCAGGTGGGCACTGCCCTGGAGGTTCTGAGTCCAGAGGCATTTCTTAGGGTGAGACGTACACCTCACATCCAGCACACATTCCAAAGTCGGGGACCACAGAGGTGGGGTGACTGTTCGGAGGGTAGCCAGCCCTCACATGTGGCAGAGAGGGGCCGGTCCACGCCCAGGAGAGCCTCCCAGGCTAGTGACCCGAGTGCCTCCCTCCTCCTACCCACGTCACTGTCCACCACGGCCTCCCAGGCTGGAGACCGCCTCGGCCCCGGGAGCTGTGCTTGGCCCCCTGCACAGCACCACATGGACTTCGGCACGTCTCAGGAGGGAGCGGAGGGATGGGGCTTCGTCTGCTGAGCTAAGCGGCCGCCCCTGGAGTCAGGGCCCGGTCTGCCGGCCCAGCGCAGCCCCCTGCAGTTCGGGAGGACCCGCGTACCATACAGAAACTGGGAGCACTGGATGTAGCCCTCCTCCATCTCCTCGCACTTGTCTGCCGCAGTTTCAATGTCGCTGATGGTCGAGGCAAAAATGGCAGCGCCACTCTCCACCAGCTGTTTGCAGAGGTGCACGCTGTTGCAGGAGGCAGCGCAGTGCAGCGGCGTCCTGCAGGGCGGGAGGGGAAGGCGTGTGTGGCCCCTGGAGTGGCAGGGCCCGGGGCTGCGGAGCCTCAGTGCCCGCATGTTCCTACTAACCACCTGTCCCCGCCTCACTCTCCTGAGGGGGCGGGCTGAGGAACGCCTGAGGCCGAGGCAGACAGCTGCCTGAAGCTGACAGACACCCGGGAGGCCGGGCCTCCACAGCAGCACGGGCCCTGCAGCCACGACCCAGACACTAAACAGAGTCCTGACTGCTGAACGCCTGGCTGGGCTTCCGTGTCAATGACCAGGTGGACAGACTGCACCACAGCCTGGCCCGTGTGGCTCGGCTGCTTGGGCTTCATCCTGTGCAGGGAGGTCGTGGGTTCGATTTCCAGTAAGGGGCATGCAGGAGGCAGCTGATCAATGTTTCTCTCTCTCCTCCCTTCCTCTCTCTCTAACAAAATCAGTGAACACATGTAAGAAAAGGGAAGCACCGCTGTGCCTTTTACAGCACCCTCCAGAAAGCAAAGCTGGGGTGTGCTGAGAAGCCCAGGACAAAGGTGGGCCCCTGTCCCCGCACCCACTCCCTGTGCCCCCGGGGGCTCACCAGCCATCGCTGTCGGCGGCGTTCACGTTGACGCCAAAGTCCAGCAGGAACCGCACGATGTGGTGGTGGCCGGCGCAGACGGCGTTGTGCAGCGGGGTGATCCCTTCGTCGTTGGGCTTGCTGGGGTCTTCCACCTGGGACACGGGGGGGGGGGGGGGGGGAGTGAGCTCGGCCTGCGCGCACGTGGGGGCGCCCGGCAGGGGCTCTGCTCACTCACCTCGTAGATGATCCTCTGCACCAGGTCGAACTCTCCCTCCAGCGACGCGTCCAGGAGCAGCGCCAGGGGGTTGAAGCGGACACGCAGCCCGCGGCCTGTGCGCTCGGAGTTGGGCTTCTTCAGGTTGGTCCGTTTGCTCTGTGACGAGGAAGCAGGCTTGGATTTAACGGGGACCCCCCACGAGCCAGGGGGTGACACCCAGCTTCACTGCTCCTTCCTCCCAGTGGTGAGGGCCTCCCAGCTGCTCTGCTCCCTCAGCACCATCTTCTCGGGCCTCCCAGCTGGGCCTCCAGTACCTCTGGGCCCGATTCCCTATGGGCAGGGACCCCTCTGCCATGCCCCCCGTGCCCAGCACAGTGGGCACCCACCGTAGAGGCTGCGAGCAGGGGTGCGACGGGGGTGTGTGACGGGGACGCTTGCTCGTGCCCTGGAGAGGGGGCCTCGGCCCCGGGGCTCGGGACCTGCTCCGGGGACAGGGCTGTGGCCACGTTATTGTTGTTGTCCTCGGCGGGCACCCCAGCAGGGGGCGTCTGGAGACCGAGGAGCCCCTCGGGCTCAGGGGAAGGGAGCTCGTTGTCGTTGGCGTCTGAGGCGGGGGCAGGCTCGGCAGGCAGCGGCGCCGTGGGCTGCGGGCTGGCCTCCCCCAGGTTCCCGTTGGCGTTGGTGTTCCCATTGTCCACGTCTGCCAGGGTGCCCGTGAGGTCCTGCGAGGGGCCAGGCTGGCAGAAGGGGGCGCCCTCCATGCCGCCGGCCAGGGTGTTGAAGCGCTGGTAGAGCAGCTTCTGGATGTTGGGCCCGCCGGGGCCCTCGGGCTCCGTGATGGAGCTGCGCTTCTTGAGCGGCCGCGGCGCGTTGGCCAGCTTCCTGCGCAGCGCCTCCAGGTCCGCGTCGCTCTGGTAGCGCAGTGGCGAGTGCACGATGGGCGTGAGCTTGGTGGGGCTGAGCGGCCGCGGCAGGCTCTCCATGGCGCCCGTGGCCTCCCCGGGCGGGGCCGGGCTGTCCTGCTCGGCCTCCTTCTCGGCGCTTTCTGCGGGGGGCGCGGGCTGCGAGGTGCTGGCGGCCGGCGGCCCGTGAAGGAACGGCAGCGGTGACGGGGACGTGGAGCCCGACGGCAGGACGGGCTTGCCGTACACTGAGGAGACAGGACAGGGACCCTCAGCCCCTCTGGTCACACCAAGGCAGGCCGGCTGTTGAACCCTCATTTTAAAATACATTTATTATTTTTTTAATCCTCACCAGAAAACATGTTTCTTATTGATTTTAGAGAGAAAGGAAGGGAGATGGAGAGAAAATGGTCCCTGTGAGAGAAACACTGACTGGCTGTGTCCTACATGCCCCCCCGACCGGGGTCTGAACCTACAACCCGGGTACACACCCCGACCCAGAATCAGACCCACACCCTCAGTGCCTGAGCCGCAATCTAAACCCCGTGTGTGCCGACACTTGGGCCACGTGGAGAATCTAACTTCCGCAATCTGGGACTCCGGGATGGGGCTTTCCCAAACGAACATTTAAATGGCCACGGACCGGGCTCCCCACCACGGAGCTGCGCCTGGGCCTGGGCGCAGCAGGAAGCACCCTGGGCCTGACCTGGAGCTCTAGGAAGGGTCTCGGCCGCTCCAAGCCCCTGGTCAGTGCAGTCTCTCCTCAGAGGTTGCTGGGCACGGGGAAAGGCACCCAGGAGCCCCTCCACTACGAGTCTGGAAGCTTGCACTCACACCCAAGAACGTCTAAGGAAGCCCAGCCCAGACTCGATGGCAGGACCCTGCCATGCAGGTCAGAACCCACTGACCATGGGAGGTGCGGCACCAAGCCCCGTTCTCCGACCTGTTCCCCCCAACACCTTGCCCCAGGGCCACGACCCCTCACCCAATCAGCTGTTCTCCCCTGCGGCTCTGGGGGACACCCCCCTCCCCCCAAGCAACAGACACCCCTCGCCCCTGCTGATGCCCCAGGGCCGGGCTCGGCAACGCAGAAAGTGGAGATGAGAGCTGGGCAGAGCCCACACCGGCTCCCGGAGTACCGGCTCCGGGTACCGGGACACAGGAGAGGGAGGACACTGCGCAATCGCTCCCAGGGGTGGGTGCTCGACAGGAAGTCAGCTGTGACCACCCACCTCACGCGAACCAAAGGCGTGTGAGAGGTAAGGCTGGTTTACCCTGAAGTAGCGTGTGGCCCGCATGTGAGGCTATGGGTTGGCGTGTTCCTAGGGGAAAGCCCCGCCCCCTGGCCCAGGAGGACACGCCCACATACCTGCTTTGACGGACTTATTGGAGGTGCCATGCGCTGCGGGCTGGTAGTTCTTGGGGGGCGTGGCTTGCTGGAGGTACACGGAGTATATGGAACTTGAATTCACTGTCTGGGGTCCTTTCCTGGGGGACTGTGGCCTGGACCCTTTATCTGCCAGGAAGGGCCTGATGGCCACAGTCAGTGGGAGCTCGGGCTTGCCGTCTCCAGCGGGAAACGCGGGCGGCCCTGCGGGTGGGTACGTGGGGCTCGGCGGCACAGAAATCCGCTGCTGGATCTGCTGGGAGGAGCCTGGCGGGTGGGTGCTGCCCACGGAGGGCAGAGGGCCGGGCTTCTGCCGAGCGGCCAGGCCTGCGCTGGGCCTGGGCAAGCTGCCCTCCTTCCTCCTCTCCAGGGAGTCTGTGGGCCCTGGGCCCGCGGGCGCAGGACTCGGGTGTGCGCCACAGCTCGGCGGCAGCTGCTTGCCGCCACCAGGGATGGGGGGTGGCATTTTACCCCTCTCGATGCCCTAAATTTAAACGTGAAGAAAACACAGTCACCTCTGGGAGGTTAAGCAGACTCCCACCCACAGTCACAGGAGAAGACCAGGGGGGACTTGCAATCCCTCACGTCGGCTGTGGCCGGCACAGGGCCCGGGGACCGGGCACGGTGGGCGGTCGCCTGCTGAGACAGGCCGCCCTGACTGAAGCCTGATGTGGCCCCTGCCCGGTGCGTAGGGCTGCGGACTCCTTCAGGCGGGGTGTCGTCTGGACACAGTGAGAATAATCTGCCTCATGACACCCTGTGCCCTTGCAGATGAGGGCCGAACGTGACAGGGTCCGGAGCTCACTGTGTCCCAGGGATGCTGACAAGGGGCCTACCTGCTTCTCCGGGGCTCCCAGCGCGGACAAGGGCGCGGGCTGGCTGGAGACGGGGCCCTGCCTGAGCGGCCCCTCCATGCTTGGGTCCTTCCAGTCCGCACTGGCCATCTGCGCCGCCTTCACCGCGGAGCTCATGTTTTGTTTCAGCGTTGGCCAGTTCCCGTCATTGGCTTGAAGAGAACAGAGTTTGAGTCAGCACAGAGCAGCCCCATCAGAGGAGAACATCGTTCTGATGGAGGGCCCCGCCAGGGCTGACCCTCCCCGTACACCAGCTGGCAAGGGCACGGCAGGACTAGGGCAGCCTCTGCAGACCAGGTCCCGCCAGCGCTGCGTGGCTCAGCGTGCAGGCTCCAGCCGTGACCCCGCCAGGGGACAGAGGTCTGCAGAGACATTCTCAGCCCTCATTTAAGCACAGCTCACGCCCGTACATCAGCACTAATGAACAAAGTGAGCACAATCCTTACTGTTCAAACACTCCTTACAGACCATCCACACCCAACAACCACCAAGAACTAGCCTTTGACTCCGTAACAGGTTTGATCTGCACTGCTCAGTGTTAAAAGAAAAACTCAACTCCGACCTGCTAGAAATTTCTGCCATCTAAAACAGGGGCGGGGCCTTTCCTCTGCCGAAGGCACCTGGGTATTTATAACATCCTTCGTGTCCACATAACACTATCAGCTTAAAAAGGAGCTGCTCCGTTTGGTCCACATTGAATTGACTCATCCCTGATGCCGTGGCAGGGCCAGACCAAACCATTTGTGGGCGGTGCACAGCCCGCGGGCGGACGTTCCCCACCCTGCTCTCCAGTGCGGCCTGATCACGGAGCCGGTGCGGCCCACCGACTGGAGAGCCAGGCTGCGCCCCACAGCAGCGGTGAGGCGGCCAGTCAGCCCGCGTTCTCAGAGCGTCTTCCCGACAGGAAGGGCACCGCTCCCTCGGTGGGCCAGGCTCTCGCCCACCGGCTCATGTCTCCCAGCAGGCCCGGCTGGCACGCCGACACCCAGCCTCGGCCACAGGGACGGGGGAGATCCCGGGGACGGTCTGGGTCCTCGTCCCTCCAGCCGGCGCAGCAGGCGGACACGCTGAGGCGTGGAGGGAACTCACTCTTCCGGATGGCTGGCCCGCACGTGCTCTGGGCATGACCGGAGGCCCCGGCGCGTGCAGGACGGGCAGAGCCTCTGAGCCGAGCTGAGCCCTGACCCGGCAGCCCTGCACCCACGGCGGCAGAGCTGTTGCCGCACTGCTGACATCACCCAGCTCCAGGCAGCAGGTTCCACTGGGCTCAGCCTAGCTGCAGGGCCCTGCTGAGCAGTCCAAGGCCAAAGGTCACCTCGCTCCGTGTGGCTGTCCGCCTGTTCCAGGCTGGGTGCTTTTCCTTCTTCCCAGGGGAGGCCAGGCGCACCCCTGGGGAGGCCCCCGGTGAAAGCCGGGCCGACAGGAAAGAGTCCAGAGCGGACTCTCGGGCCGAGCTCCACGTCCTGCGCCCTCCCTCACGGTCACCAGGAATGTGGCCAACCAGCAGCGGCTTCTGCAGGCCCACGGCAACCAGAGGCTCCATGGAAACCTGGCACCGAAAAGTGAGGGAGGGATGAAGAAAGAGATTTCCTTTCTGGAGGATGAGGCAGGAGGTATAGGAGGAAGATCACTTGTTCTTATTATCAAGGGACAATCATCTCCCAGTGTGAAGGGGGACCTTGTACTGAAGATAAAGCTAACGCCTCACCTGACCTCAGGAACTCATCTGCATCTGGTAAAAGAACACGGAAACACCGCGTGTGCGGCCTCACTCAGCCCTCCCCGAGCAGGTCCCGGTGCGGGGCGCCCCTGGCACCGGCTGGAGGGAGGGGCAGACTATGTCCACATGTGCATCTCTCTCCAGTCTCGATGGGACGCCAGCCTTTCTGTTTGCAAAACAGCATGAGGGACAGAGCGCCCCCGGCCTGCCCGCGGCCATACGGTTTGTCAGGGGTCTGCAGCTGGTCATGCGGAGCCGCAGTCAGGCCCGACGTCCAGGTTGGACACTGTCCACGAGCGGGTCACTCTGGCTCTACCATGGCTGTCCCAGGGCCACGGAACCAGAGCAGCTACAGCACGGTTAGCGTCCCCACCGAAGAGGTTTCTTCCCCAGATCCCCAGCTGGGCTGTTTCTGCCCCGTGTGGGTGACGCAGAGGGCCCGGGCGGCCACCTCACAGCACAGCAGTGAGGAACACGCGGGGCCCTCTGAGGACGCTGCTCCAAGGCTCCTCTTCCCCCCGTACCCCCAAAGGGGGCCGCCCACTTACCAGGTTTGGGCCTTCCGTGGGCAGCTCCTGCAGCGACAGTGAGAGACTGGGGCTTCACAGGGTCCCCCGGGGCTGAGCAGCTGCCGGCGCTGGGGACCTGGATGTACGGCCCCACGGCAGCCACCCTGCCGGGCGTGCTCAGGGGTGACTGTGGCGATGACGCGCCATTCACTCGGCTCAGCTGCACCGGGAAGAAAGGAGAGTCAGCCTCCTCCCAGGGAGGCTCACTCACCAGCTTGCACTGAGGCAGCCCCACTGCCTGAGGGAGAACATCCAGGAAGGAGATGTCAGGGAGGGCCTTGACCCCCGAGCCTGGGAGTGGCCCTCCCTGGTGACCTCAGAGCTGGGCGCTGTGACGCACCAGGACTGCTCCCAGGCACCTCCCCCCGGATGCGCCCCCTCCCCAGGAGCAGTGGTCAGAGCCTGGGCTCCAAGCCGAGCTGGCTTCCCATCCTGCTCTGCCACATACTTCCTGTGCTGCCTTGGGCAAGTGACGCAACCTCTCTGAATCTCTGTGCCCATCTGTAAAGTCAGGGTGGGGTTGTTGTAAGGTCTGAGTGACAGGCCCGGAACCAGGCGAGGCTCTGACCGGTTCCCTGAGGACACCAAGCCACAGCCAATAACACTGGTCACACTACGCTGCCCAACAACAGAGTCTGTAAGTGGAGGGATGTAACTACAGAACCCCTGCCTCCTTAGGGGTCCCCAGATCCCCAAGAGAGGTGTAACTCCCTCAGCTGTGTGCAGCTCTGCAGGGGTAAGCATGCCACTTGGAGCGGGTCCATGGCTCTGACTGCTGAGAGGTGCGTGGGACCTGTGGGGGGGGGCACATCTCCGGAAGGACTGGGCAGAAAGCACCAAGTAACACGCACAGAGCTCTCTGTGCAGCTAATTCTGTGTCCCCGTGGCTAGATGTTTGGACAAGCACATCCGGATCGAGGCTGCCCTGCGGGTCTTTCTAGATGAGATTAGCATGGAAATGACGGACTGTGAGCACAGCAGAGGCCCTTGGAGTGGGGGTGGGCCACATCCTAGCCGGTGTTGGCCTCTGACAGAAAGCTTCACCCTCCGGCGGAGAGGGAATCCGCCTTCGGACTCAAGCTGCAACATCAACAATTCATTTTCTGGGTCTTCAGGCTGTAGCCTCCACAACTGTGTGATCCAACTCCCTAAAACCAATCAATTCCCCAAAATCAACCTACCAATCTCTGCCTATACTGCTCCCCCTGCCCCCCACCTACAGGTTCGGTTTCTCTGGGGAGCCCGACCAGCATTGGGAACCGGAGGTGCTATGGAAGCGGCCTGGAGAGCGTGCGCCTCTCACGGCCTGTGCTGCTCACCCGCATCAAGAGAAAACCATTCCCCGTGACCAGTTAGACTCAGCGCTGACACTGAGCTCTGGTTAAAGGAGTGAAGGCTGTAAACCAGAGACGTCCCCGAGAGCACGGGCTACGGCAGCCACAGAACCACCAGATCCGTCTTCCTCTAGCATCTCCCTAACCCATCCACCGGGCAAAGCCTCAGAAGCCCCCACCTCCCCGCCTGAGAGCCACCTCAGAGGGGCAGGAGCCCACAGGACACATCACACCGTGAAAGCACTGATTACTGAGCGTGAACCGGGGACTCTAGGAGCCTCGTCCAGCTGGCTGCTGCCTGTCCAGTCTCCACTCCTGAGGGCAGAGTGCCAGTCAGCTCTGGCCCAGGCATCGTGTCCCTCAAACCTGAGCACCACGAGCGGAGGAGGGGGAAGGGCCACATCCACAGCGGTCCGCCGAACCTTGCACACGCTCACAGCCAGGCACGTGTGCATGGAAGCACCGAGAGCAAGAACAAGGCTTGGGACCCCTGCCCGACAACAGGGCTGGGCCACGCGGCCACCGGCCTGGGACGTGGAGTACTGCACAGAGTTACAGAAGGCGTGAGGTGACGCCCTGGAAGGATACCCAGGCTGCAGGTTTAAAAAAGGCCGGGCTCAGAGCAGTGTGAGTGAAAGTGTTCTTACAATTCCACTTCAGTTAGAAATCCAATACTTTCTGTCTGCATTAAGCAAAAGACTGGAACACTAACAACTATCACCCCTTGAGAATGAGAACAGACTGGAAGGGACTTCCACATTTTCCTTTACCTATTTTTGTACTATTTTAGCTTTTATTTATCATCTTTGAAATAAAAAAAATACCAAATCAGCCGAAACCGGTTTAGCTCAGCGGTAGAGCATCGTCGGTCTGCGGACTGAAAGGTCCCAGGTTCGATTCTGGTCAAGGGCATGTATGTTGGTTGTGGGCACATCCCCAGTAGGGGGTGTGTAAGAGGCAGCTGGTCAATGTTTCTCTCTCATCGACGTTTCTAGCTCTCTTTCTCTCTCTCTCCCTTCCTCTCTGTAAAAAAATCAATAAAAATACATTAAAAAAAATCAAATCAATATTTTGAAAGCGCTAACCATTCATATAGAACTCTGCCCAGGAGCTTACAAAGTCCTTCCTCTGAGCCTCCTTTCATGCCGACTCCTGGGGCAGCTGGGACAAAGCAGTTTCCTGCAAGGACACAGGCCACACAAGGTCACAGAACTTGCCCATGAGGCACAGCTGAGGGTGGCTGGGACCCACAGCTGAATGGTGGATGGGACCCAGCCCCGCGCTGAGACTCGAGCCCGAGCTCCCCAGTGGAGGGGGGACAGCCCACAGCGGGCGGGGGGTGGGCACAGCCTGTGGCTCTGACGGGGGCTGATTCCAGACACAGGAAGCAGGTGCCTCCTGGGAAAGAGGACTTCCTTCTAGATGTCACTTTGTGGCCAATCTACGCTGCATCATGTGGGCAGACAGAGACAAGGCCCTGGGAGGGAAGCTGTGCCCCTCTGGCGGAACCCGTGTCTGACACACTTGCTTTTCCACGTGCCTGGATTTTCTTCCCGTACAGACGCTCACGCAGCTCGCCGATACGCTTGTCCATCATGGCCACTTCCATGTTGCGCTTATTCAAGAGGTCCTTCTGCTGCTGCAGCTTTGAATTCTGTTCCTGGTTAAGCTGGTTACGAATCTGCAGCACAGAAAAGACAACGTGTGTGACCTGTATCAGGCACTCGGTCACACCGCCCTCGCAGGGAGACGGCGAGGGTGAGGCGGCGGCGGAGTCCTGATGGCACTCACACGTTCGCGCGCTGCTGTGCACCGAGTGCTCCCAGGCGCGGCCCGCTGAAGCCAGCAGACTCCTGTGAACCAGAGGAGGGCAGCCAAACGGAATGCCTGGCACAGTGACGGGGACCGGGCATTGTGGGACCGGGACCTCCGTCCTTGGGGATGGCATTTAGTGCCCTGATCACTCCGCTAGGGAAGGAAGCAGGGGTGTCCTCTCCACCCCACAAGCCTCGTAACGAGGCACCTCTCTGCAGAGGCAGCGGGAATTCACAAAGCGTGGCCCAAACTGCCTGGCGAGGTTCTCGTTTCAGTGGTCATTGGAGGTGTGGCCTTTGGGAGGGGTCTGGCTTAGCAGCGGTGGTGAGAATGGGGCTTGTAGGTGCCCTTATAAGAGGACGAGACGGGAGCCGTGAGGACAGTGAGAAGGTGGCCGCCTACAAGCTGGAAGCAGACCCTCCATGAACTCGTCTGCCGGCAGGCACCTGATCTTGGAGTTCTGCCTCCGGAACTGTGAGACTCAGGGTCTAGGTTAACCTCGTCCACAGTATTTGTTACAGCAGCTCATGCTGACTGAGTCAAGGACTGAACAGCAGGTATCTAAGTATCTCATCAAAACAGTTTACACAGACACCGTAAAGATCACCTAAAAGCTGAATTCTTTACTAGTTCACTGCACTGCCAGTTCAATTCTGCACTGGAGCTCCGCACTGAAAACGCCTAAACCACATGTGACACTGCAACCTGTACATGTGAAGTGTCCAGAGTAGGTGGAGCTACAGGCAGGGAGAGGAGGTTCCTGACTGCTTAGGGCTGGGGGTTGGCCTTCTGAGGGATGGCTGAGGAGGTGGGGCTTCTGAGGGATGGCTGAGGGGGTTGGCCTCCTGAGGGATGGCTGAGGGGGCGGGGCTTCTGATGGCTGAGGGGGCGGGGCTTCTGATGGCTGAGGGGGTGGCTTCCTGAGGGATGACTGAGGGGGTGGTCTTCTGATGAAGATGTTCTATACTTGACTGTGGTGGTAGCTGCAGAACTCTGTGAAGACACTACAAACCACTAAATTGTACTATTTGTGGGTAAAAGCCCCTTTGTACTGAATACATTTCATGCCTCTGTCAAGCTAGCATCCATCAGCGTGTCCCCAGCAGCTGAGGTCCCCCGCCCACAGGAGAAAGGCTGGAGATTGGACGCGTCACTACACCCCTCCCGGACCGTTACCTGCAGCTCTTGGTACAGCCTCTTTAGCTCCACGGCGGCCGGGCCGGGCAGCTTGCCGGTGTACGGCTGCAGCCCGTTCAGCTTGCCCTTCTTGAGGTCTTCCAGCTGCTGGCTGAGCTGGTCGACGCGCAGAATGGCCGTCTGCACCTCTTGCTTCTTCTCCTGGAACATGGCGCTGAACCTCTCTATCTCAGCGGCTGTGATTCCCACCAAGAAAGAAAACGTCACTCAGCTGGGACTTCCTCTCCTGGGGGGTGTCATTTTGTTTGGTGCATCTCCTTCCTGACTACACGCTTAACTCAACTCCAGCATAACTGAGGCCAGACCCTGGAGAGAAGACTGTGACACCCACAACCCACGACACACTCCAGCCCTCGGGACACGTGTGACTGCTCGCACGGCAAACAATATTTGCACTCATAGTGAATATTCTGATCAGGGCAGTCAGCCCACTGCGAGCTTGGTCAAGCCGCCTGGGAATCTCGGCACCAGCAGAGCCGGCCCTGAGGCTGGCCCTCCCATCTGCTCTGTCATCATGGCACACAGAGCAGGCTCTCGCTGGATTAATAGGATCAAGACACATACGACAAAACCAGGAAGTGCACGTTGGAATGGTCTATGGTAATACACAGTGAGACTTCAGCTGCTTAACTGTGACAGGCCCCGGAGGAGTTGGGCCAGTGCTGCACGGCTGGGCGGGGAGACCCCAGACCACTCAGCTCCGCCCACCCGCTCTCTCCCCTGCCCATCGCTCTCTCCCCTGCCCACCCACTCTCTCCCCTGCCCATCGTTCTCTCCCCTGCCCACCCGCTCTCTCCTCTGCCCATCGCTCTCTCCCTTGCCCATCGCTCTCTCCCCTGCCCACCGCTCTCTCCCCTGGGCGAGCAGGGCCCTCTCCACCCCGCTCTGACTCCGTGTGACTGAGAGGGCCTGCTGAGCGCGGGCGCAGGAGACGGACATACACAGATTGCCGTTCATAATCTTGCTGTAGTCCACCTGCCCCCTCATGGCCCGGATCTTCTTCAGCTTGTTTTCCTGCGCTTCTACTCGTTCTTTCAGTTTCTGAAGCTTTTCGTTTTCAGATATAGACTGCTGCTGATGGCGCTCCTGCTGCTTCAGGAAATGTAACCGCTGCTCCTAACAAGGGAAAAACGGCTCACTCTGAGACGGGTGCACGCTTTATACAGAGAAAACTGGAGTGGATTGCACAGTATCACCTATCCCAACACGAAGACATGTTCCAGGCCCGGCCTGTGTGCTCAGTGGTTGGAGCGTTGGCCGCGTGACGAAGGGTCTCGGGTTTGATTCCAGTTGGGAGCTGTATCTGGGTTTTGGGTTTGATCCCGGGCCTCAGTGGAAGGAGGTCAGTGGATCTCTCCCTTCCTCTTTCCCCCATCTCCTTTCCACTCTCTCTAAAAGGTCACGGAAAATATCCTCGGATGAGGATTAACAACAACAAAAAACCCCCACATGAACACGCCCGAGGAGCCACACGCACATAAGAAGGCACAACACTGGTTACTGCACGGCAGGAAGCGGGAGGGGGAGTTGGGATTCACAAGTGGGCTTCGCTTGGCACCATCCGACACCCAGCGTGCACTTTCCTGTGCTCCCACAGGAAAGTGCTCCCCCAGGAAGCCTCGAGCAGGGAAGGCAGCCGGGGCTGCTCAGGCCCCACCCGGCTGCCTCACCAGCCTGTCTGCGAGCCCACAGCTTCCTGTGGTCAGACAGGCCTCGCTGCAATGGGCTCCAAGGCCCATCTCACCTACAGGAAGCAGGGCGGCCAGCAGGGGGCTGTCTGCTGAAAAGGGTGAGCAATCATTGATCAGTGAGGAGCTAAACCTCTGATTTGCTGAGGGACATCCTACAGCTCAGGAAGTGTCGTTTTCTTTAGGATTCGCTTCTTCAAAACTCATGGAACATTTTATAGTTAAAACAGAAACAGGGCCATCCTAAAGTAAAAACATATGCACTTCAGTAGTTTCCCCCATCAAAGTGGACACACCTTAGGGATAAGTCAGCATTAATCTTCAAGCCCCATATGACGTACAAACCTCCCTGTGCGGTTATGCAGGCATCACGTATGACACATGTGAAGTCAGCGTGAACTTGCTGTTCACACCCTGAAAATACCTAAGTATTTCCTCAACAATAATATTCTTGGATCAACATTTAGAAAAAAAAAAAAGTAAAATTAGAAAATACTATAATTACATAATACTATGTACACTTCATCTCAGAAATCTTAAGATGAAATACTTCCTGATTTAACTTCTCATTGTTTTTTGTTCTTATGAGACCTATAAACTTCGTAAGACAGCTTTTAAGAACAAGTACACCTTAACCTATTATTTACATAAGTACAAGGTCATTCAATAAATGAAACAAGTTAGATTGGACATATGGTTATTAAGCAAATCTACAGGTGAACAACACAAAATGATGAACAGGGACAGATCCAGAGACAGAGAAGCACTGATCAGACCATCAAACCTCAGAGGGAAGGCAGGGGAGAGTGGCAGTAAGGGGAAGAGATCGACCAAAGGACTTGTATGCATGCATATAAGCCTAACCAATGGACACAGACAACAGGGGGTGAGGGCATGAATGGGGGGAGGGGGGAGGGGGCTAATGGGGAGATGAGGAGATGCATGTAATAACTTAATCCATAAAGAAATAAAGAAAATCTACAGGTTCAGTTATATGTGGATTCTAAGAAACAACAAATGAACAAACAATAAATGAACAGAAACAGACTCACAGACACAGAGATCAGACTGCCGATGCCACGACCTAAGAAGGGCTGGGGCTGAGGGAAAGTGAAGGGACTGAGACGTGAACTGTATTACAGAACGGCCACAGGGGTAAGAAAGCCCAGGGAACACCATTCTAATACCTGCGGTGCCAAGGGGGTCTTCAACCTCTCGGGGACACTTCGGAGGTTTTATAAAAGTCTAACCACTATGCTGTACACATGAAACTCATGTAATATTGCACATCCTCTGTAATTGGAAAATAATAAAAATAAAGAAATAAAAAGGGCCTCTCTGGCAGAGAGCAGGAGGAGCAGGCAGCGAGGGCTACGCTTCTCAGCAGCTCAGGCACCTAGCCCATCGCAGGGCGAGCCGCTCCCAGAGGGCACGGTTGACAGGTCTGGTTTTATACTTTTTTTTTTTAAATAAATATAATAAATCTTTATTGTTCAGATTATTACAGGTGTTCCTCTTTTTCCCCCCCATAGCTTCCCTCCACCTGATTCCCCATGGTTTTTCACTTTTAAGATCCATCACTAAACCATCATTTGTAAAAACCTGAAGTCCTACTGTTCCAGAGTCCCAACTGCAAACGTAGAGCCCGTTATGCCGCCACCATAGGAAACCAAACGGTGCCCGAGCGTGGCCTCCCCCAGGGAAGCCCTGGTGACAAGTGTCCTTGTCTCAGTCCGGGACCAGCAGGCGGTCAGGGCCGCAGGCTTCCTCAGGAACACCCAGGCCGACTGCACCGGCTGAGGGCACACCCAGCGGGAAAAGGGGATGACAATGGAAAACACCCTCTCTTCCCAAATATCATCCCACAGGGCAAGGTCGGTCATTTCCAGTGTGTCTGTGTGTGCAGGTCAAGGGCCAAGTGCTCCTGTCCTGACACCTGCTCCCTTGTGGCAGCCACGGCATGTGTTTATTGCAGGGAGGAGATGGCAGAGAGAAACACGGTGCCGAGACTTCTGTAGCCTGGTCCTCCCAACGAAAGTTACCTGTCAGCGTACGAACCCCAACCTACAGGACCAGTTTGTGGAGAACAAGCTTTTGCACGTTTCCCCACCTCGGCTTCTATAAGCTCACCTTGGCGACCAACATCTGCTGCTGGTTTTCGATTTGCTGCTGCTGCCTGGCTGCCATGTCTTGGAGCTCTGAGAGGGTCAGCTCTACGCGTGGATGCCCCACCTGCAGAGGAGAGAGCACGGGCTGGAGCATGTCTGCAAGACCCACTTCCCTGGTGTCGGGAGCACAGGAGTGCAGACAGGCTTCCTAGGGTCAGGAGAGCACAAATGACCTGTTTTCTCATAGAACGCTCCTAATGTTGAGTGCTTCATAAATAGAGCACTGGCCTCGAGAAACAAATATCTAAGCGGGCTACGGTAAGGACCAACCCATTAGAGACAGAATAACCTCAGGGAAATGAACACCAGAAGGGAATACGGAGAGGAGGTAGCTGACGGAGTCTGAAAGCGTACGCCCATTCTCCGCTGAAAATAATGATAGACCACGCATGTTTACAGCACTTGCCTTGTGCTCCGCACTGAGCCACGTGCGGGTCATCTACAACTGCTTAAGCCTCACCATCACTACCAGGTAGGGCCTAGCACATCTCCATCCCACGGGTGAGAGAGCAGGCAGCCAGGCCAGGCGAAGCCCACACCTCTGTTCTCTGTCGGGACCTCCGCCCAGCACCTCCTCACTCAGACACTGCGTGCATGCGAGCCTGCTGCGCTCCTTCTGTGGTGCGAAGGGAAAGGGACACGTCCAGGGCCTGGAGCTGACCATCGGTGCGGACTCTAGCCAGGCCCTCGTCCCCCCAGCCCCGCTGCTGCTAACCAGGCGTGTGCACTGTCCCGCCTCAGACCTCCACTTTCTACTTCTGAGCCCACTGTGCTCTTACCTTCTGCCCTTTTGCATTTTTAAAAATTTATCTTTATTGTTGAAAGTATTACAGATGCCCCCTCCCCCCATTCACTCCCTTCCCCGTCCCCCGCAATCCCCGCTCCCCAGGCCTTCACCGCTCTACTGTCTGTGTCCATGGGTTACGCATATATGCGTGTAAGTTCTCTGGTTAATCTCTGCCCCTGAAATACATCAGTCTGTTGCATGATTCCTTGGCTCTGGTTTTATTTTGTTCATTAGATTCCATATATGAGTGAAATCATGTGATCCTTGTCTTTCCCTCCTGCATCCTTTTTTAAAAATATATATATTTTATTGATTTCAGAGAAAAAGGAAGAGGGAGAGAGAGATAGAAACATCAACAGTAAGAGAGAATCATCTATTGGCTGCCTCCCGCCCCACTGGGGACCGAGCCCACAACCCAGGCATGTGCCCTTGGCCAGAATCGAACCTGGGACCCTTTAGTCCACAAGCAATGCTCTATCCATTGAGCCAAACCAGCCAGGGCCTATATTCTTTTTAAAAAAAATATATTTTTATTGATTTCAGAGAGGAAGGGAAGAGAGACAGAAACATCAATGATGAGAGAGAATCACTGATTGGCTGCCTCCTGTATGTCCACACTCTCTACTGGGGACCGAGCCCCAAACCCAGGCAGTGCCCTGAGCGGAACCTCCGGGTTCATGGGTCGATGCTCAACCACTGAGCCGCACCGGTGGGGCCCCCTTGTACTTTTAACAGAGGCCCGCCTGCTCCTCTGACTCCAGTCTCCCCCAAGCCTTAGTGTTCAAACACGTTCCTGCCTCCTGGAGAGTGGAATGAGGATTTGTTCCACAGTCATAACTGGGGCCCCTGTCCTTTCAGCTAAGATCCTGGGCAAGCAATAGGGGCAAGGCCCTTTTCAAAACCAGATACTGTGAACAGCCATGAATCATCAAAATCTGTCTTGATACTAATAAATGGTTGCTAATTTCCACCTACTGAGATGTTCCAATTACAACGAAAGATAATTTTTAAAACCTTCGGAACTTTTACTCCTTAAAAACTATGTCCATTCAACAAGTCACCAACCATTTCTTTGGTCTCCTTTCCCCACCAGTGGCTTAGCATAACAATGCCAGGAGCCGGGAGAGAATGAGCTGCTCAGGATTCTGCTGCTCACGGCTGTGAACAGGCCAGAGCTCTGCATGTGCTGTGTCGTTTGCATGTTTCTAACCACAAAACTGAAAGGTTCTATGTTGTCATAAGTAGTGCAGGTATTACATGTTATGTATGTAATATAATTTTATTGGAAGTGGATCTGACATACAGGAAACTGTATAAATCACAGTGCACAGCTCAACGGGTCATTTTAAAATGACACACCTGTGTAATTTGTGTTGTAAGCAGGTTATAAAAACACAAGCCATCATAAACGAGTAAGTCAACAAACCGGCAACATTTTACATCTTAATACACATTCCCTTAGCTGTTCATTGTGAACATTTAGCAAAAAGCAGCACCCTTGCAGAGTCTAAGGAAACAAAATCCTTAATGCAAATCCGATCCTTCTGTGAGGACCTATCAACATGCATTCTCCTCATGAAAATTAACCCTCTATGGGCAACTTTAAATTCCCAACACAAACCAAGTTTATGCCAACAAACCTACGACCTAATCCGTGCTTATTTCTTCTCATTGCGTCTAGTAGGAAGAAGTTCGATCCTGTTCCCGGTACACAGTGGGAGTTACCTGGTGAATGTGGGTCCGATCACAGAGCAGACAAGCCACTCCCAAGACGAGCAAACTAGCAGAAAAATTCTCCCAGCGACAGCGCAGGTTTCCACGCACACTGGCTCTCTGCCAGCCCCAACGTCCTTCTCACAGGCACAGGGTCCCCCTCAACCCAACCCCTGGTCCGTGGGGTTGTTGCTTTGCAGGACGGCCCAGCCCCTCGGCTCTGTAATTCCACTGAAGGGGCCCTTCGATGTACTCTTGGTGTCTGACCTCTGAGAGATGCGCTCACTTTGCCCCACATTCCAGCCAGCCTCCTGCCTGGAGCCGGGCGATCCGCACCAGGAAGAGGAGCAGGCAGGCTGTGCACGAGGCGCACAGACCCGGCCAGACTGTTAGCCAAGGTGAAGGTCATTTCACTCCCACGAGCAACATGACAGTCCTCGCTTCTCCACATCCTGCCAACACTTGTTCAAAAGTTTAGTTTCCTCTTTTTAAAATAAATTAATTCCACATAAATGGTATTTTGGTAAGTAATGAAAAAAAAGCATAAAATGCCCACAATCAAGCTATCATCCCCAAATGTACTGTGACTCGATTTTCAATAAAAAAGCTAAGCCCACCTCTGCCAAAAGTTCGGTATGATCAGGAGGCTTGTTTCCAGGTTCATGTCTCATTTGGACTAATTATGTATATGAGTCATAAAGCTAACAAAATAGTGTTTAAAATCAGGTGATAAGAACTAGATTTTTAAAAGATATTAAGAAACAACTCACTTGATAATTATAGTTGAAAACTTTAGATCACAAGCCAGTTGATGACATGGCTTTAATAAAATGTATTTTTGTCTCCCCAGGTAATGTTTTAAATATAATTTGAAACTGGTGTTACAGCATCCAGTTATTAGAAACATGTAATAAAGTCCCTCAAAACAATCCACTGTGGACAATTATGCAATGCACACGCGCCTCCCGGCCTGAGCACTAGGGATGTGTGCTTGCAGATGGCTAGTCTCTCCCAGCACCAGCGAGAGGCCAGTTCTACACCCACCTCCTGTGCTCCTGGAACCCCAGCCAACACGCATCAAGTGTGTTTCCGGCAAAGCCTCATCTCACTGGGAAACACGCTCCTCACCTTGCCCAGGCTCTGGGTCGGTTAAAGACCCTCCACTTCCACGGCTCTTCCAGACAACGGCTTTGTGTTTGTTTAAGGACTCATCCAGAAACGCACTGTCTAACGCTCTGTAAGAAGTGATTATCCTGACATTACAGTCTCAGGTCAGAACACAGTCACCAATTCAGGCAGCCTACTGCGCCTCGTCAGAATGTGCTCCCGCGCCGCCCGAGGTGCACGCCATGCCTGGACGAGTGCGGTGGTGTGTGAGCACAGGGCCTGGGGACGGGGAAGAGGGCATCTTCTGCTTCTTACCAGCTCTCTTCCTGTTTATCTGAGAGGTTTTCTGTTTGTGAAAGCGATCTGTGAATCAGCAGCCCGCCGTGCCGCGCTGAGCAGGCCAGGCCCGCGCATGAGTGCTCTATGGCTGAGTAACAGGTCGCGCCTAACCCCGGCTGCTTAAACGTGCGTCTGGCTCTCCGTTTCTGTGGGAGAGATTCAGGAGCGGCTCAGTTGGACAGTGTTGGCTTGAGGTTTCTCGTGGGGTTGGTGAGTCCAGCGTCGGCGGGCTGTGGTCATCTGAAGCAGTGCGGGAGGAGGACCTCACTCCCGGGTGGCTCACCCACAGGGCGCCTCTCCGCAGGGCGCGGGCTGGTTTCCCAGAGCCAGCAATCCCAGAGCGCACCAGGGGAGCTCCCTCCCCTGTGAACTGGCCTCAGAGCTGCAGGGGTCACTCTCTCCCCTCTATCTGGTGGGAGGCCAGTCACTAGGTCTGGGCAGAGGGGACGGACTCCATCTTCTGAAGAGGCATGTCAAAGAATGACAGACGTCCTTAGAAACCAGTGTCCATCCCCTGTGACATCTCATACAGACTCTGCCTCCACCATTTACCCTTCTATCATTCACGCCTTACAGGCATTCGGTTGTTATTCCCAACAGCACGGTCATAATCCGAAGAAGAGATGCTTATGAATGTCTATGGGCTTATGAGTAAGAGAGCTAGATTACAGTGCAACCCAAAGAGGTTTCAGCTACAAATGCAATTGCCCCCTCAATGCCTCGCGTATGTTCCTTGGTAGCCAGTCAGCGGAAGAGGCTAGTGGGTTCTGTCGGCAATGAAACACCAACTGGGTAATGGGGTCACTTCAGATGTCAGCTCTTTTCCTGATACACTGTAGAGTTTAATACTCAATCAAACAAGTCGTCTTTGGTTATAATAGACAAATGGTTACTGTCCTATTATTCGGGGGAATGAGTTACCTACGTTGTCAGTGCCGATGAGGTGACGTGCTGTAGGTCAGCAGCTTGTCCCACTCGTTTCCTTTGTGCTTGGCTTCCATGGAGAGCACACCTGACCGGCGGAGCCGAGCCAGCCTGGTCTCTAAGGGGAAGGGGGGAGATATGTCTGGCCTGCAGGCCAAATAAGGCCCACGAAATCCTTTGGTCAGGTCCTACCA